GAGGCTGTCTCAGTGTATGAGGTCAGGCTTGTGTCCTCTGAGATGACATGTTGACATTTAATCCCCACTGTGAGGTTTAGGAAGGTGGAGGCCGGATCTCACTGTGGTGTTAGAGGTGTAGATTAGGCAAGACCATCATGGTGGAGCTCGGGACATCAGGGGGACAGAGACCAGACACATTCAGACTCCTTGTCTCTCATTCTTTTCTACCTTCCCCTATTTTTTTTTAAAAAAAGAGTCTCATGTAGTCCAGGCTGGCCCGAAACTCACTATGTAGCTGAGGATAACTCTAAACTTCTGAGCCTCCTGCTTGTACTTCCCCAGTTCTGAGATTACATGCATACACCACTAGATCCCATTTATGGGGTGACAGATTGAACCTAGGGTTTCCTGCATGTGCCGCCAGGGCTCCACCAACAGCTTCGTACACCCCAAACTGCCTCTTGACAGGTGACACCCTGGGCTTTCTCAGGACTCTGCTGGCAAGGGCATCACCAGAAGTAGACCGTCCACCTTGAACCTAACCTCCAATTAGACTTCGTTTCTTACTTGTCCACTCGTGGGACTGGGCTGTCAGCAGTAGGAAATGGGCTAATACGGCCATGAGCTCTTCCTGACTGGGTGAGGCAGGGGTCGCCAGTGACATTTACAGACAAGGAAGCCATCTGAGAATGAGGAAACTGATGGCAATGGCCCAGCCAAGCTTCAAGAGGTACAGCCTTATTGATGGGTCATACCACCTACCCTTATCTCTTTACAGACAAAAAGCCTAAAAGAATTCATGTTTTTGGCTTCCTTTCTTCCCTGCTCACTCCTTAGTCCACTTAGCCCTCTGCTTTTCAATTCTTACTCCATTGTTTATTCAGTCAACAAACATGTATGTAATGCCGGTTTATGCCAGACACTTATCTAAGGGCAGACATGACAAAGATGCCGTCACCCCTAGGTCCCATTGCGTATCCTCCCTCTTACCTGAATTCTGGGCTAGGGGACAAAGCCTGTTCTGTGCCCTTGTTGTGGGGCCCTGCTTTACCCCAGGTCACTGTCAGGGCCCTAACTTGGTTACTCACAGGGATAGCGGTTGGCTTGTCTATCATGGATCTCCAGTGCCTAAAGGAAGCTGGGGCATCGTAGATGTGCAAATAGTAGGTGTGTGAGGTAAACCTGAGCTCCGAGTTTCCCACTGGAGGCTAGCTCACCTCTGGGGGAACTCTGGCGATGTCTGGAGACACTTGGCCGTGAGAGAGGAGGGAGGAATGAAGCTAGTCGTGGAGGTCAGGGATGTAGCTAACGCAGGCGCCCTGCCCCCAAGCAAAGCTCATCCAGTGCCAAACACCAGCAGTGCTGATGCTGAGAGACCTAGGGCCCGAGGCTTCAGCTTCCAGAACTTTCCACCCAGGGCTTAGTGTCTGTCACGAGTGGCCTAGGTCATTTAGGGTGAGAGAGTGGCGTCACTCCGACTGCTGTTTTTAGCTTCTTTGGGTTTATTTTGTAGGAGGCTGATCATAGCTGCCCAGGAGAGCTTTTAGTGGGGTCACAGTGGCCAGTGGCACAGAGAGGGCCTGGATTGATGTCCTCATGTGGAAAAGACGACTCCATTAATAGCTCTGCCTGCTGCCGTGTGCCTGGCCGGCTCACTGGGCTAACATAAAGGATGTCCTAACTCATTGTCATTACTTTGGTTCTGTTAGGCCTTGGAGGGTTTAGCATCATGTGTGATGGGGAGCAAAAGGGGCCGACGGAGAGCGAGGGAGCCGTGAGATGGGGCCCAGCCCGGGGCCTTGCAGGAGCCGCTGGACGGTGGGTTTCTCCCGCAGCCCCAGCCCTACCTGGTTCATTGTCTTTTAACGTCGCAATCTCTCCTTCTATTTTCCTGTGGTGCTGAGTCACTTGGCAGAGCCTCTCCTCCAGGCTCACGATGGTCTGCGAGTGCTGTCTGATTTGTTCTTTGTACACCGTGATTTCCTCCTCGAAGCCATGCTTCTGGGATTCCCGCTCATCCTGCATTGCCTGCATGGACTGCTGCTGCAGCCTCAGCCGCTCCTCCATCATGATCTGGGGGAACATTGGGGGAGATGCAGCCTCAGGGGCTGGGTCAGGTGGCAGCAATCTGCCTCCTTTGCCTGCGCAGGCGCTAAACCGCATCCTACCCGAGCGCCTTGCATGCATGTTCCTGCTAGCATCCTTCACGCTTCCTCCCTGTACGGCTGACCTGTCAGTTAGAGCCAAATCTTCCAGAGTTTGGCTCTCACTAACATTACTGCTTCGGGGAACTTTCCTGGACGTGTGTTCATGGACGAGTCCCCAGTAATTTCTATTTCATTTGTTATCTTCCTCCCAGGACCTTTATCAACACCTGACGTGGTCTTGGTTTCTTGTTTCGCTCCCCTGCGCGTCTCTCAGATCCACATCACAGAAGCCTTGCCTGCTCTCTTACTGGTCTGCCCACTACACCTAGGCCCAGATGTTTGATGAGAATTAATGACTGTGGTGTGTGTGTGTGTGTGTTCGTGTGCGAACGTGCATGCTGGAGAGATGGCTCAGCAGTTAGGAGCACCGGCTGCACTTTCAGAGGCCTGGCCTCTATTCCCAGCACCCACATGGCAACTCACAGTCACCTGTAACTCCAGTTCTAGGGGATGCAACACCCTCATCTGGTCTCCATGGGTACCTGGTACACACATGGCACACAGACACAAATACAAACAAAATACCCATACATACAAATAGAGATAAATGCATCTTTAAAAAAAAGAATCAATGAGCCAGGCAGTGGTGGTGCATGCCTTTAATCCCGGCACCAGGGAGGCAGATGCAAGCGGATCTCTATGAGTTTGAGGCCAGCCTGGTCCACAACATCCAGTGCTACACAGAGAAACCCTGTCTTGAAAACCAAAACAAATCAATCAATAAATGAAATTAAAAATTAATGAATGGATAAATAGTTGGATGAGGAAAAAAAGCAAACCAATTTGCATTTCTTGTATGTGTATGTACCTTGTGTGTGGAGGTCAGAGGACAGCCTTAAGCAGCCAGTCTCTCCCTCCCTGCTTCTGCGATACTTGTCAGCTAAAATCACCAACAAAGGCTCTCAGGAAATCAGCCACCACCTGTGACCACGCTCCCCTTTCTGTGACCACCCTCCACTTTCTGACCCTTCCTGATGTCTCTGCCACGGCCCCTCCCACCCTGCCTTCCTAGCTCTTGCTCTCCCTTCCAGAGAGTATGCTGGACGTAGGCCTCCCAGCTCCTACAAGTGGGATATTTTGCAAGCTCTCCAGATCCCCAGATTTATTTTACTTAGAGACAGGGTCCTAATCAAGTTGCTTTGCTGGTCCTGAGCTCTCTTTGTAGTCCAGGCAGACCTTGAATGTCTGTTTCGCTTTCCTCAGCCTTCAGAGTAGCTGGGATTACAAACCTGTCTCACCCGGTCCAGCTGGATGACCTTTCCCATCAGAGGTGAGTTTTACCTCTAAAGGACATTTGGCAGTGACTGTCTCAGCTGGGGGTGGGGAAAGTGCTGTTTACTGTCCACAAAGCATAGGACAGTCCCTGAGAAGAAAGGTACTTGGCCCAGAGTGTCAGTAGCTGGAGACTGGACAAGCCTTGTTTCAGCCTCCCCNCCCCCCCCCCCCCCCCCCGCAATCTCCTGCTACTGTGTCAGAGTCTGGATTTCTTTTGCTGTGATGACCACACATCAAAGCACCTTGCGGAGACGAGGGTTCACTTCAGCCTACCACTCTCAGGTCACCCTCCACCGCTGAGGGAAGTCAGGGCAGGGACCTGGAGGCTGGGGCTGATGCAGAGGCCGTGGAGGAGTGCTGCTTACTGGCTTAATCCCTAAGGCTTGTTCAGCCTGCTTTTCTTACAGAACGGGCATCACCAGCCCAGAGGTAGCTCCACCCTCAATGAGTGAGGCCCTCCCTCACCAATCATCAACCACCAAGTGAGCAGAGCCCGCCCCACCAGTCATCAATCACCAATCAAGAAAAGGCACCACAGGCTTGGCTTCCCCACAGATCAGTCTGGAGGGGGCATCTTCTCAACCGAAGTTCCCCTTTCCCGAACGACTCTGGTTTGTGTGCCAGGCTGATACAATCCTAGCCAGCACACATTGCAGTCTTCCCCGGGGGAAGCTTGGCATTTTCAGATCAACCCACCATTTTTGTCTTGGTCTTTTCCAGCTCGGCTACTGTTTCGTCTAACTTGAGGGCAAGGGTCTCGGCTTTGCGGCTCTCGGCTGTCTTCATCTGCTCCGCCTCCTCCACCATGGCCAGGGCGTCGTTTAATTTATTATTTAAGATGTCCTCTTTTTGTCCCTTCGATTCTATTTCCTAGACAAACAGCAAACACCAAATTAACGACGCCTGGGAGTCAATATTTACCTTTCTCTCCTTATTCCCCGAGCCGTGAGAGAGGACACAGACCCCAGTCTGTCGATGCTTCTCAAGTCCAAAGCCCGAGGATTTTCTGGAAGGTTCCAATTATTGCAGAGCTCTCTTTTTATCATCAGCAGAGATCTGTCTCCTTGATTTCTGGTCTCTGAGCCCAATTCTGTCACCGGGAGCCCTTGACTTGGTGTTATTTCTCTTTTATGAGACAGCCCTTTAAACATTTGAGGAGGGCTGTCAAGTCTCTCTTTAAATCCAATTTCCAGGATAAATGTGCTAAGTGCCTTTGCCCTTCATCACATGATCTGCCCTGGGGACACTCTGCTCCCCCTGCACTCCAGGTCCCTGGTCAGAAAGGATCCCAGTTCCAAGTCCTTGGCATAACTTATGTCTCCCCTCGAAACCGTCATTCATTTTTATAATAATCCTACTGTCCCCTTGGGGACCTTCTTCCAAGGACTGGAGTATGGGTTCCTGCCAAGCCCTATGCTGAAGTCCCAGACATCATTTTTTTTAATGTGGGTGTGTTTGAGTATGCATGGTTGTATGTGTATGTACAGGTGTGTGTGTGTATGTGTGTGTGGTGAGCGTGGAGGCCCCAGGACAACCTCAGGTGTCATGCTCAGAAATGAGACAGGGTTTCTCACTGGCCTGGTGCTTACCGATTAGGTTAGACTAACTTGCCAGCAAACATCAGGAATCTTTTTGGTTTTGACTCTCAGAGCTCAGGATTTTTAAGTGTGTGTGCTCACTTGAGGGGAGGTGTCCAAGGCCAGAAGCATTGAATCCCCCAGGGCTAGAGTTAACAGGCGGTTGTGAGCAGCCCAACGTGGGTGCTGGTAATCAAACTCAGGTTCTTTGCAAGAACAATTCATACTCTTAACTGCTGGACCATCTCTCCAACTTCCATGCCTGGCTTTTAAAAAGTGGTTTCTGGGGCTAGAACTCAGGTCTTCGTGCTCTCTTCGCGAGCACTTTACCAGCTGAGCTGCGTTCACAGCCCCATGGGATGTAATCTTGAGACACAGTCCTGGGTGCTCTCGCAGCTGCTTTGATAGTGTGGACCAGGTCATCCTTTCGGGAAGGTCACATGGGAGCAGGGACCCAGCAGCTACACTCAAAGCACCTCATCCTAAGGGGGGCGAGCTGACACGCAGTTGTTCAACCCAGCATCTTTTGCTTATTTGTTTATTTATTCATTGTTATGATTATCACTGTTTTTACTGAGAGAGTCTCAACAGCTCTATTGTGAATACAAATAAAATTGTGTGCAAACAGCCACCCTAGGTCTGAGTAGTTGTTTGTTTGTTTGTTTTTTGAGAAAGAGCTGAGGCTGGTTTTGAATTCCCTCAGGGTGACCTTCAAGTCCTGATTAGCCCACCTCTACCTCCCAAGTGCTGGAATTACAGGTGTGTGCCATTAAGTCAGGTTTATGAACTACTGGGGATGGAACCCAGGGCCTCAGTCATGCTAGGCGAACACTCTACCAGCTGAGCTCAATGCCCTCAGTAATTTTTCTGAAACTGGCTTTGGAGTTTTCACCTTCCATGTATCTAGTTTCTAAATCTTCCTTTTGAAAACAATGTCCATTCAGGGGGCTGGAGAGATAGTTTAGTGGCTAAGAGTCCTGGCTTCTTTCCCAGAGGGCCTGGGTTCGATTCCCAGTGCCCATATGGTGGCTTACAACCATCTGTAACCCCAGAAATGCCCTCTTCTGGCTTCTGTTGGCATCAAACACGCAGGTAAAACACTCATGGATACATAAAAAATAAAATAGCATTTTTTTTTTTAAAAGAAAAATGTCTACTCAGGCCAGGTATGATGGTGCCAGCCTGTAATTCCAGCTACTTGAAAGGCTGAGAGGCAGGAGGATGATGGAACTGAAGCCAGCCTGGATTACATAGTGAGTTCAAGGTCAACTTGGGCAAATAAGTGAGACCGCATTTCAGAAATAATAAAATAAAGTTGGATGTAGCTCAGCGGAAGATGCACACCTGGCCAGTGTGTGTGAGGCCCTGGGCTCCATTCCCCGGCACCAGAACACCAAACAAGCCAGTCTGTTGGGTACCTGTGTGTGTTGCTGTTGGGTCACTGAATTCCTCAGACGGTTTAGAGATTAACCAGACCTGTGTCTGGCAAGTATTTCCTGCCCAGTCTGGGGGCTGCATCTGCACACTGTTCCCTCTGCCGGGTGGAAGCTTTTAACTTGTCCGTTTTTGCTTTTTGTTTTGGGTTTGGGGTGGTGGGTGGGGGGCTGGTCGGCAGGATCCCCGCCAGAGTCACACAATGTTTGCTTTGCAGTTGTGTGCTCTGTCCTGGTGAGTGGTAGGTCCCTTTGTATGGGGGGGGGGGGGGGGGGGCTTGTCACTGCTTCTCCTGAGGTGTTTGCTGTCACTGGGCAACTCTGAGGTCTCCCGGTGACTGCCTTTGGGCATCTGATCTAAGGCTGCTATGGCTAAGGATGTCCCTTGTTGCCTTGCACAATTCTTTTTATGACAGCCCCGGGAGGAGGAGCTCCTCGGGGTTGGCGCCTGGAAGGGCTTCGTCCTCCATGTGCTGGCCTGCCATTTGGTTGTGGGCTTGAACCCAGGGTACTCTATCTTTCTCTCTCTCTTTCCTTTTGATTTTGAGACAGGGTCTTAGCAAGCTTCCCAGCTAGTCCCAAGCTCGCTTTGCAGCCCAGACTGGTCTTGAACTGCCTCGCCTCCTGCGTAGCTGGGATTACAGGTTTGCACTGACAGCCCTGTTGTGCTTGCTCTGTTTTTGTGTAGCGACTGCACGACCAGTTTTTCCTTGCCCTGGAACTGCTGGAATATATATGTAGTTTGTGTATTGATTCGTGACATACTTTTCAAAAGGTTTTACTTATATTTCATGTGTATGGGTATTTTGCCTGTCATTATGTCTACACACTACTGTGGAGACCTGAAGAGGATGTTGGATCCCCTGGAACTGGAGTTATGGGTGGTTTGAACTGTCATGTGGGTGACAGGAATCAAACCTGGATTCTCTGTAAGAGGAGTCCGTGCTCTTAACTGTTGAGCCATCTTTCCAGCCCTGATACACATATGTGTGTGTGTGGGGGGGTAAGTCTATGTAAGTCTATGCGTACACATATATACATGCATCTATGTGTGCATTATGTATATATTTACATGAGTCCCATTACTAGCTTATCTTCTCTTCTTTACCCACCCCTTACTGACTTACACCCCCCACCACCACTTATTGACTCATCCTGCAGCATTCCAGGGTGCAGTATTTGGGAAACAGAGTAGAGACAGCTCCTGTGGTCTGAGCTCCAGGCCCCAACATGGGAGTGGGCGGCCCCGAATTCCTGGGCCTTGCCGGCCTCTGCCTCTTCTGGACACCCATCCATCAGTTAAGGCCTCCCATCCGAGTGGGGCCCGGAGCAGCTGTGCCATCCTGAGAGCTTTGCTGACTTTGTTTCTCCTTAGGTGGCGGCGTTCAAAAATGTTCCAGGGTCATTTGGGTAGCTTGTTGAAAAGACAGATTCCAGCCGGGCAGAAGTGGGCGCACGCCTTCAATCCCAGCACTCAGGAGGCAGAGGCAGGCGGATCTCTGGGAGTCCTGGGATAGCCAGGGTCATACAGAGAAACCCTGTCTCAAAAAAACAAAGACACAAACAAACAAAACCCCTGATTCCAGTTCCACCCTATATCCAGGGCACTTCAAACACATGCACAAAAATGTGTGGGTGCCTGTGTTTAAAGAAAACCACACAAAATGGAGGCATAGACACCCTTCTTAGGCCAGTGGGCCCAGGAGATCCTTTCAATATAAATTTAACTCACAATTGCCAGGTTGGGTGTTGCTCACCTACTTTGACTAAGATATGGCCAAAGTGTGTGTGTGTGTGTTGTGTGTGCTTGCACACTCACATACACGTGCGTGTGTCTGTCACACATCAGGGACCCAGGACAAGCGAGTATCTGCAGTTTTTGAGGGGTGCGCAGCCACCTCCTCTTTACCCATCGGGTCAGAACTGTGGGTCTCGACAGAAATGCATTTTAGTTTGGAAGGTAATGACTTCTAGGGCAAGCTCCGCCAAGAAAGGGACACGGAAATGCCTGGATGTCCCCTCTCTGTCACAAGGCTGGAGTGTAGTGGCAGGGGTAGGTAAAGATGAACGGTTTGGGAGTTCTGGGTTCGGATCCTGCCCCCACCCCCACACTTCTGAGCCAGGAGCTGATGCATGCAGCATGAGCTGCGTGCATCTGTTGGTGTGCTACAGTCAATGTTGTGTCCCGTCACCGAATGAAGCTGACTGTATTTCATGCGTGGGAGCACCGGGGCCCAGAGGCAGTGAGTAACTTCCCTAAAGTCGCACAGCAGAAGAAGGATTTAAACCTGGCTGCCTGGCCGCAGGGCCTGACGGGGTCCGCGGGAGCCGTGGATGGACCTCTCATCTCAGAGAGCCATACCTCTCTTTGCTTGGTCAGGCGGTTCTCCAGGTCCTGGATTCTCCTCTTTTCCTTCTCCAGGGTGTCTCGCATTTTGAGTCTCTCAAAGGTGATGCTCTCTGCGATCTGGAAGTCAAAGAGGGATTTGAGGGTGAGAGCAGAAGAGAAGGGGTGGTGGTTTGAATAAGAGCCCCTCCCCATAGACTCACAGGTGTGGCCTTGTGGGAGGAAGTGTGTCCCTGGGAGCAGGCATTCCAGGCCCCGTCTCCTGCTCTCTGCCTTCGGATCAGGCTGTAACTCTCAGCTACTGCTCCAGGGCTGTGGCAAGATCTGCCGTGCTCCCCCCCCCCACTGTGTTGTTCCCCCCATGATAATAATGGACTATAACCCCTTGAAACCGTAAACAAGTCCTCAGTCACTTTCTTTTTTACACGGGCTGTCTTGGTCGTGGTGTCTCTCCCCAGCAGTTGAACCCGTGACTAAGACAGAGGCGAACTCACTGCAGGGGAAGCCAAGGTGAGTCACCACTGAAACCAGTGACTTGGAGCCTGGATGAGGTGAGAGGAAGTGAGGAGGCTGGGGAGCAGGAAGCCATGTCTCAGTCCCAGGAGGATAAGGAAGGAGGGGCTCCTTGTTCCTGGTTCCCAGGCTGGCATCAGTAAACGACATGGTCACGAGTGTTCAGCCCCGTCACTGGGTGCGGAGCCACTGTCTGACCTGGTAGGTGTGTTCGCACCAGGCCAGGTTCACCCTGGAAAGTCCCTGGCTTTGGGAGGCACAGCTCCTGGGAGCTTCAGAGAAGGGCTGTGTGCACTTTATGTACAGTGACTTTTGTCCCACAAAGAGATAACTTCAATTCCCATTTCTCAGGGTCCCCGGAGGGGTCTGAGCTCCAGGGATCCTCCCTGGCTGGCTAATGACTGGCAGGTGGGGGCCACTTCCTGCAGAAGTGCAGCAGCAGGACCAAGGGACTGCGGGGCTGTCAGGCACACCTGGCTGCATGTCCTCCTGGAGGGAGGAGGGCCCTGGCTGCTCTTACCTCCTTCTGCTGGGTCAGCTGGTTCTCCAGGTCTTGTGTCTTCCTCCTTTCCGCCTCCAGCATTTCCCGCACTTTTCTTTTCTCACGGGCCACACTGTCCTCCAAGACCTGAAAGGTAGGGCCAATAATATCAGTATCCGAGTTAAGGCTAGCAGCTAAGATGGGCTTATGTTACCCTCAGAATGACCTCACCCCTATGGTACCGCTATCATGGAGCTGCTGCGAGGATCCCTTTTTTTGTTTGTTTGTTTGAGACACGGTTTCTCTGTGTAAAACAGTCCTATCTGTCTTGGAACTCTCTCTGTAGACCAGGCTGGCCTTGAACTCACAGAGATCTGCCCACTTCTGCCTCACAAGTGCTGGGATTAAAGACATGCGCCACTGCCACCAGGGCTAGGATCTCTTTTAACAGACGGGGAACCAGGGGCCAGAAGAGGTGTGGGCCACACTGTCTGTCAACAGGGAGGCCAGGGTCCGGAACACAGCAAACACACAGACTGTGTTCAGAGACTCTGGGAGGATACCAGCACGCAGAGGGACCCTCGTTCTGCAGGAGAAGAATCCCATTGATGGTGGACTCTCCAACTAGTGGAGCTGATTTCTGAAGATTTGGTCTCAGAAGGATGGAGGAATGGGCATGAATGAGCCTGTCGCTGTAAGGACATAAACATTTTTAAAAAGCTTTGCTTGGTCAGGAGCTGGTTAAGACACAGGCCTTGAGCTCTTTGCAGCATCAGGAGTTAGCTGGAAACAGGAATCTTTGCGAAAGTGCAGACCAACTGTCCCTAGTAGTTAAGTCCCCTGTCGACACCCAGCTTTGTGGTCTAGACAGGAGCAGAAATAACTGCTTAGGGGGAAGGCGGGGGGGGGGGGGGGGGGCATGAACAGAAGTAGAAGGAGTCCATTCCCTGCACTCAGTAAAACCAACCCCTTTGACCCTAAGTAAACCTGGCTTGCGGTTTTTGCCTATATATGTCAACCCCAAATGAGGAACGGGAGCTCTCCCTACTACACTGCATTCACATGTAATGGAGAACTCCCAGCTAGCTGGGAAGAATTAAACCTGGCTTTTGCATTCTGGACTTGACTGGATTCTGGTGGTCTCTCTGGGGGTCTCTCAACTTGGGCACAACGTGAGCCTGTCACCACCTCCTAGAAAGTTCAGGATGAGCCTTGCAGGGATGTGGTAGGACAAGGGAAGAGCTCTGGGTTAGTATCCTGCTGTCCCTAGCCACAGAATTTCATCTGGTCCATTTCTTGCTGTGGCCACTCTGCTAATGGACTTGCTGCAGATTCCACCGCCAGAGAATCTGAAATCCCAAGAAAGGTCACCTCAGCATTCACAGGGCTTCTCCCTACACCCAAGAAAGGTCGCCTCAGCTTTCAAAAGGATCTCTCCCTACACCCAAGAAAGGTCACCTCAGCATTCACAGGGTCTCTCCCTACACCCAAGAAAGGTCGCCTCAGCTTTCACAGGGCCTCTCCCTACACCCAAGAAAGGTCGCCTCAGCTTTCACAGGGCCTCTCCCTACACCCAAGAAAGGTCGCCTCAGCTTTCACAGGGTCTCCCCCTACTCCGCAGCTGGACTTCGGGAACTTGGAACTTGCAGTGTGATCTCCACTAGAGTCTACAAGGTGGGGTGGGGGGTGGGGATTAGCCTTCAGAAGCATCTGATCCACAGGAGAAGGTGAGGAGCTACACAGAGACAGTTTTATGCGGTTCATTCCCATGATCCCAGCACCTGGAGGTAGAGGAAGGATGATCAGGAGTTTAAAGGTCATCCTTGTCTGTACAGTGAGTTTGAGGCCAGCCTGGGCTAACAGATCCTTTGTCAAAACAAAACCAAAACAAACAACAACCAGCAATCAAAAAACAAAACCAAAATCCCAAGAAACAAATGAACAAAACACCCCTGGTGGTGGCTTAATCCTTTCTGGGAAGAAACTATGGCCAGGCCTTGTCAGGTCAGAGTAACAGACTGGTGTAATTAAGCCCAGCTGACCTCTGCATGATGCTTGATTTTTTTTTTTAAAGGCAGAATCTTGTTCTGTACTGGTTGGTCTACAACTCTGCATGTAGACCAGGCTGGCCTCAAACTCACACAGATCCACCTACCTCTGCTGTCTGAGTGGAGATTAGAGGTGTGTATCACCACACCTGACCCAGAGGCTTCAATTTTTCTGACTTGCTCCGTCACTTTGGAATCGCTAAATTCAAGGGCCTGGCCAGCCCTTGTTGACTCCTGGATGGCATCTGGCCTAAGTGACTCCATGGAGACCCCACCCCCACCCCCTCACTCTGCCTGGAGACCTGACTCAAAGGCAAACCTTGGTGACACTGTTTACAGAGTGCTGAGGAACAGCTGGGTGAGAAACCACATGTAAACATCTCCCTGGGTTACATCAGACTGTTTGGGCAGACTTGCATTAGGGGGCTACTTTCCCTCTGGTGGAGGGCAGACAAACACTCTACTTGAGGAGGGTGGGTTGTCAGAAAGCCGGGTGGGGGCGGGGAAAGGGAGCTGGGACAGGAAGGGGCTATGCCCTAGTGCCAGGAGACCTGGCTGTAGTGATAAAGACAGCAGCCACCACAGATCCGTGACACGGTTGGGTCAAATGCTTGGTTGTCCATTATCTCTGGCCTTCCTGGCTCCCTTCCAAGAAGGGAGGTGTGGATAGACTCAAACTGGCGTCTCCTGTGGCTGCGAAGCCTGCACCTTCAGGCCTGAGGCATCATCGAAAGCACATGTGTGAAAGGACCAGGGCTCTGAGACTGGCGACCAGCTAAGTGAACACTGGCAATGTAACAGAGGTTGCCGGTGGGTTAGAGTTTGGGCACATCCACAGAAACACAGCATCCTTCACGAGGGGGAGGAAAAGCCTTCCCCAGGTGTCTGCGGCCGGAGGATGGCATTTGGTTCTGGCTACTGCACTGTAGGGAAAGGGCAGGTGATGAACTGCAAACAGCAAAGCTTATGAGAGGGTAGGGGCTCAAAGGACGACCCGGCTGCTGCTGCTGGGATGAATTTCATTCCCCTGCGCCCTTTTCCTCCACAGTGGAAACGAGGGCCGGAGCTTTTTGACTTTCCAAGAGAGAAGAGAAATCTGGATTTTCAAATACATTTTAGGAGTACAAACCAAAACATTCTAGGTACGACACATGTGCAGGTCACTTCACCCGCTGAACTTCAGCTCAGTGACTTCTGGAGCACAGAGCGGGCATGGGAAGGCCATCCAGGCCAGACTCCTAGCCCGCTGTGCATGGGGACGGGGTGGAGTGGGGCGGTAGTGGCTGGGAAGGATGTAGGAGCTAGTGCCTGGCTTTTAAACATCTAGACAGCTGTGTGGAAGAGGAAGCCTGAGGCCTGAGATGGGTTGATGATCGTCACCTTTTGACTCACCCCAGCCTAAGAAAGTTCCTGCCAGCCCTGGGCATCCCTCCGCCCAGGGCTGAAGACTTCTGGGTGCTGGTTCTGAAGATGCGTGAGTTTAGGATGTGGTTGAATCATCCTCTCAAGATCCTGTCGTTCCCCATTTGATGTTTCGGAGCAGATAGGACACATGCAACTGGGCCCCAACATGTCTCAGCCTGCACTCTGTCACCCATGAGACAGAGCCTTTGTGCTATAACTTTTGCTGACCTCAAACTCACAGGGACCCTCTCAGCTCCTAGAGTCAGGGTGATGGGCAGGAGCCACCATGCCTGGCTCATCTCATTCACTTTTTTTCTCCTCAACTGGTTGGCAAGGTTACATCTCCATGGCTCTCTTCCAAGTCCTCTCTGCTTCTCCCAACTGCAGAGCCCAGGTCAGGACAAACCACACAGGACAGCCCCGCTGTGCCCCACCCCTCTTCTCTCTCCCGCAGTCCCTCCAGCCGGCCGACCTCCCAGAGCTGGGCGTACCTCCTTTTGACAGGCCAAGTGGCTCTCCAGATCACGAATTTGAGTCTGCGCCTTCTCCAGGGCCTCCTGTGCTCTGTGTTTCTCCTGCGTGATGCTCTCCTCCAAAGCCTGCAAGCCAAGAGCTGTTGTGGAGGCCACCTGTTGCCATGGCAGGATGTGGACTCTCCCTGGGCTCTGCCTGGTTTGTGCTTCCATCCTGAGCAGGCTCCACCAGGCCCAGGGAGCTCCAGGGCTCAGTGGGTTCCAAAGAAGCAGGTCTGTGTGAGAGCCTCAGATGGGCCCTGACAACTGTAGACCCAGATTCAACTATGGGCGGACTCAACTCTCCCTCTCGGAACTGCTTACCTTCTTCTGGTAGGTCAAGCGACTCTCCACCTCTCTGGCTTTCATCTGCTCCCCCTCTAGAGCCTCCTTCGCTCTGTTTTTCTCTTGGGCAATAGCTGTCTCCAGGGCCTGCAAGTCAAGGACCCTTGTTAGACAGACCTGGAAACCATGGCAGGAAAGTGGACTCTGCCAGGTTCTGTCTTCAGTCCTTATCACACCCGAAGGAGAGTGTGGGCAGCAGAGTCTTTGGGATGGAGCACAGGGTTTGGACTGGGAGTGTGGGCAGAGTCTATGGGCTGGAGCACAGGTTCTGCAGTGTGGCACAGACCAGGTGAGAACCTGGATGGACTCTTCCCAGCTCTGGGCCCTGGCAGCTGAGACTCTCTGCATAGAAGCCTCAGTTTCCCTATCTGTACGATGAGATCAGTACTAATGTTTCCTGTCTTGGGCTGATGTGAGAAAGGGATGCGGAAATGATCAGGGTGAGATTCTTGGCACAGTGACAGCCTCCTGCCTCTGTGCTGCGGGGGGGCAGGGATACAGGCTTAGGTAGAGATATTGGAGAATCAGCCTCATCGACTCTAAATTGTGTTCTAAACCAACCTAAGAAAGACTTCCTGCCAGCTCTAGACAGGTGGGTGGCTAGGGCTGAAGAAGACTTCCAGGTGGTGGGACTGAAGATGGGATGAGGTTAGGACCAAGGCTAGCAAAACGGCTCATAGACACTTCCCACCCCCTCCCACTCACTGCTATTTTGTAAATAAAGTTTTGTTGGGACTCTCTATGAACACTGTGATATGTAGTCTACAGCTCCTTTGTAAATAAAGTTTTATTGGGACTCTCTATACACACTGTGATATGTGGTCTGCAGCTGCTTTTGTACAAGAGCAGAGCTGCAAAGTCACAGCAGAGATTGAAAACAAGTAGCCTGCAACAATGAAGACATTTATTATCTAGCATTGTGGAGGAAGTTTGCTGACATTGGCCTACAGCAGTAAGAAGTGTGTGCAAAAATTAAGAGTGTGCTCTTCAGGGCCCATCACCATCATCACCATCATCTTCATCACCACCACCACCACCACCATCATCATCATCATCATCACCGCCATCACCATCATCATCACCATCATCATCACCACCACCACCACCACCACCACCACCACCACCACCACCACCACCATCATCAATGGGTGCTGGATTGATGATGGCACCTGGCATTTCTTTGGCCACTTAATAAAAGTCCTCGTAGCAACCAGGATTCATGAGAGGGAGGCTGAGGGACGAACTAAAACTTAGAGATGAAGTACAGGAGGAAGGGCCATTTAAAAGCAGGACAGCGAGGGGGAGATGGCACAGTCTGTCAGGAAAGCACTTTTGGCATGCAGGCACAAGGACCTGAGTTGATGCTCAGCGTTCGCTTAAAAACAGGTGTGGGGCTGGACGGACGGCACAGCAGGTGAAACGTGCAAGGGAGAGGACCAGCGTTCAGGTCCCCAGCACCCAGGGAAATGCTGGGTGGGTGTGCAGTCTGCCTGTAATTACAGGGCTCTAGAAGCAGAGAAGAGGGAGCCCTGACCAAGCTCAACAGTTAGCTGTATCTGTGAGCTCTGGGCACTCAGTCAGCACTGAGAGAGCCTGACTCAATCAATAACGTGGACTGTGATCAGAGAGGACCCTTGGGCCTCCACACTTGACTGCATATGAGCACATGCTATGCGATGCAGTCACACACATATGTACCCCCCACATGCATGACCTCATGAGTGCATACCACACACAGAAAAGAAAGGAAAGGCCAGGCATGGTGATGTGGCCTTGTAATCCCCGTCCCAGGGAGGAGGAGACAGGCAGACTCCTGGGTTCACTGGCCAGGTAGTCTAGCTTACTTGGCAAGTTCCAGGCTAGTGAGAAACCCTGTCTCAAAAAGCAAGGAGGGGTTGGTGGGATAGCTCAGTGGGTAAAGAGGCACGCTTGCCATGTCTGACAGCCTGAGTTTAATATTTGGGAGTCACATGGTGGAAGAAGAGAACTGATTCCTGAAAGCTGTGTTATGACCTCAAACATGGGCCATGACATGAGCATGTCTACACACACACACACACACACACACACACACACCCCAGGACTAAAGCCCACAGAATTTCTTTCAGGTGAATCTCCGGGGTCAAGCTGGTTGACCACCTGGTTGTTCTCTAAAATCTACCTCTGTGATTTCGGCTTCTGTGGTTTGAATCTGAAACACAGGCTCCTGCTGGATGTTTGGTTCCCACCTGTGCTGTCATCGTAGAAGGTTCTGGAAACTTTAAGACGTGGGGCTTAGTAGTAGTAAAGTTGGCCAGCAGGGCATCCTCCCCTGGGTTACACTGAGCAGAAAGTTGGTCATAACTCTCTTGGGTTACACTGATCCCTGCTCCTTTCTCTTCTCTTTGCTTCCTGTCCACCAGGAAGTGCACAGCCCTCTCTGCCACATGCTCCTGACTCTGTAATGTTCTGCTAAGTGCACGGGGTCCAGCAAACATGTAAACTCTTCCTTCCTCTTAAAACGCTAAACACAACTACCCTACGATCCAGGTTCTAAACGAATCCAAACCAGCGGTACCTCCACATCCATGTCTATCACCCAACCATTTGTAACAGCCAAGATGGAACAGGCTGGACACCCCTCAGCAGGAAAACGGACGTGGAAAGAAAATGTATCGCGTTGCATAAAGTAACCACAGGGAAGAATGGAACGACAGTTTGCAGAGAAATAGGTGGCATTGGAAATCACCACGTTAAGAGAAAGAAGCCAGACCCAGAGACATCAGCATCGTGTTTTATCTCGTATGTGGAACTGATGATGGAGGTCCAAGCTTTGATCCACAGGTTGCATAAGGAGCTATGGGTCCAGCACTAGATTCTCCCTTTACTTTAAGCATACTGATTTTTTTTTTTTTTAAAGATAGGGTCTCCTATGTATTCCTGGCTGACCTGGAACTTATTATATAGACCAGGCTGGCCTTTAGCCCCCAAAGATTTGCCTGCTTCTGCCACCCAAGTGTTGGGATTAAAGGTGTGTGTCACTGTGCTCAGCCCTATTTCGTGTTCTTTCACACCTGTGAGGTAGTTTGTAGAGTGTGACGAGCAAGCCAAGGGGACTGTTTTGGGGAGGAGAGGAACTGAGGGGGACCTGCAAGAGTAATGGGGTGAATAGGGTTAATGTACAATGCTATATAGGCACAAAAATGTCATAATGAAACCCACTATTGTGTGCACAAAACACTTTTTTTTTAAAAAAGAATCCTTCCTTCTTTAAGATTTTTTAAAAAAATCAAGCCAGTTGGTAGTGGTGCACGCCTTCAATCCCAGCACTTGGGAGGTAGAGGCAGGGGGATCTCTGTGAGTTCAAGGCCAGACTGGTTAAAAAAAAAAAAAAAAAGACTCTTTAAAAACTCTCAGGCATTGTACCCTAGCGACGAGAAGGCTGATAAACGCAGCAGCCATCTTTAATCTTACCTTTACGAGCTTTGGCTATCAGTTCTCCCATTTTATACCCTCCACTTCACAGGAGGCAGGAAGGGGGCTAGGGAGATGGCAAGGATGTCTACTGTAGTACCCGATGACCTGAGTTCAATCCCCAGGACCTACTTGGCGGAAGGAGGGGACTGACTGCCACTGTCCTCAGACACACACACACACACACATACACACACACACACACACACACACTGAATAACTAATAAGGAGAAAGGCAAAGAGGAAGGAGGAGGCAGATATCCCAAAGAAACTGGATGTGAACCGGAGGTTGGAGAGAGGGCGGAGAGCAGGTGTATGTGACAGAGAAGGACTGTGGGAGTCTGGAGCCAACAGAGGTGACAATGCTGTGGAAGGCCTTGTCCCTCCCTGAGGAGAGAAGGGAGGACTTGGAGTCTCGCAGATGGGAACAAGTGCACGGCCCTCCACACCCACTCTGATTGTGACTACCAACTATGGCTATGCTTTGCAATGTTGCCAACCCCGGAGCCTGGGCTACACTCCCGCCTTTGTCCTCAGAGTCTAAATGAATAAACACAGCCAAGCAATGAGGTCATGAGAGCCACTGACCAAGGAGGAAAGCAAAGAAAGCAACAGAATGGGTGGCAGGTCCTCAAGACTGACACAGGAGAATGACAGGAACTGGTTTTGGACACCCACTTTCTACCTTCTCCACGGAGTCTGATACAATGGGTCTTTTAATTTATCTTTTAAAAGATTTATTTATTTTATTATGTATACAATGTTCTGCTTGTTTGTATGCCTGCAGGCCAGAAGAGGGAACCAAGTCTCATTACAGACGGTTGTGAGCCACCATGTGGTTGCTGGGAATTAAACTCAGGACATTTGGAAGAGCAGCCAGTGCTCTTAACCGCTGAGCCATCACTCCAGTCCCCCCCCCCTTAAAGATTATTTATTTTTATGTATTATGCATGGGTGTTTTGCCCACATGTATGTGTGCTATCTGTGCACAGTGCCCACAGAGGCCAGAAGAAGGCATCAGACTCCCTGGAACTGGAGTTACAGATGCTTATGAGCTATCATGTAGGTGCTGGGAAGCAAACCCCAGTCCCTTGCAAGAGCCGCCAATGCTCTTAACCATTGAGCCATCTTTCCAGTCCATTGCTGGGGTTTAGGGCCCAATCATTCACCCCATGCAACTCATTTAGAACCATCACATCAATCGACAAGCTGGGGAGGTCACTGCTCAACCCCAAGCCCCCAGTGACCCATGGAAAGGTCCCACCTCGCTTCTCAGCCTCAAAGGAACTGTCATGAGTCACCTTACCTTCTTCTCTTCCGCCAGCTGCTGGATTTTGGCTTTTAGCTTCTCCTCTTGTTCCAGCTTCTCTTTGTTCAGCTTCTCCTTCTCGGCCAGGTACTCCTGCTCCAGAGACTGCTGAGTTTCCTGAGAAGTGCTCACCTGGACCTGCATGGAGAGAAAAGCCAAATGAATCCCACAGGGGAGAGTCTGCGGTCTTTTTCTCTTCCTTACAAATTGTTTTATCTTCCAGGGAGCAAAGCCCTCCATAAAAAGCTCCTTAAAAACATGGCTGAGCCATCCTCGGTCTAGAGAAGTGACTGGCGAGGAAACAGTAAGAATACTAAGATGCCACACCCTGGTCCTGGACAGAGATCCCTGCTCTAGTTAATTCTCTGTGCTTCCCCATTCTGAACAGGAGGTGTCATCGGGCCTGCATCTCATTTGTGACATGATGGGGGTGGTTAGCCCAGTGCATGGTGGGTAGTAAGTGCTCGGTAAACGGCAGCTCGTATTGTTGAAAGGCTCCTACTTTTGGTTCTTTATCCAATTAGCTGTGCGGCAGTCAAATTATCACCAACCTCTCTGAACACCGACATCCATTATCTGTGGAATGGAACTGTGATGAGCTGCCGGCTATAGATCAGATCTGGTTCACCGTCTGTGTATGTGTGCGCGTGCGTGCATGTGTGTGTGTGTGTGTGTGTGTGTGTGTGTGTCATGGCATCGTGTGGAGATGAGAGGACAACCTGGCTGAGTCAGTTCTCTCCTTCCACCATGTGGGTCCCAGGGGTTAAATTTAGGAGGTCAGGCTTGGTGGCAAGCACCTTGATCTGCTGAGTCACCTCACTGGCCCTCTTTCAGAGTTTTTACAGAGGAAATCAAGCACTGTGGTTATCCCAGGAGGTCAGATACAGCAGGCGCCCTGTGTTTGTCTATTCTTGGCAAGCCATCTCAGACACTGGGCTCAATCCCTTTGTGCACACGGAAAATCCTGTCACCTGCAGGAGGGTGGGGGCTGACTCACCCACAGCATGGAAACAAATTCAAATTCACAGTTGGGGAGGGGAGAAGAGAATGAAAGAATCACCCGAAGTTCCTGGGTCTGGCTCATGATTTTCTTGTAATGTTCCAGAAGATATATTAGATACAGAGAGAGCCCTTAAAAAGAGGGGCGGGAGGAGAGGCGTCAGTTTCTCCTGTGTCCTTTTCTTCCCCCACGTCTATCCCTCCCTCTGGCCCGTCCCTTCCTCTGTTTATGTAATCTTCTCCTTTTCCAGATGTGGTCTTGCCCCTTGGTGGCAGCTCACATCTTTAATTCCAGCATTCAGGAGGGTACCGTGGCCCTCCCATCAAGACAGCACGAACTGTCAGCAGTGTTTTTATTTTTAAATGGCTGTTGGGCCAGACACAAATCCATAGTGTGGATGACTTCGTTTTGGTAGAAACTAAATGCAAATTGAGAGTGGGGAATTCTGTGAGGCCACACACTCTCAGTCCTTAGAGTGTAGTCTGAAGTGACGGGTCCACCCTGACAGATAAAAAAACACACGGGGACCATGGGTAGCACCCACGCGACAGGGGAGGAACACACGGGGACCATGGGTAGCGCCCATGTGACAGGGGATGACAGGGCAGTGTGAGAGGCTGTTTTGGCTAAGGAGCCACTAGGTGTGGGCAGAGTGGGAGGGAGAACATTCCAGAATAGAAGTTGAGGCTGGCTGAGGGATGATGCCACCAACAGCTGGGTCCTAGTTCCTGGGACCTGTGAGTGCGCGGAGAAAGGGACTTTGCCAGTGCGCTTAAGTTAAGGACTCTGATGTAGAGATTGTCCAGGGTTATCTGTGTGGACTCAGGACAATCACAGTGATTCTCATAAGGAGGAGACAGAGGCCAGGCAACAAAAAAAAAATCTAGACAACTGGTCTAGATGTTGGCTTCGAGTGTAGCAAGAAAACCCACACATGTTCCAAGTCACTTGGGCGGTGGTGACTTGTTGGAGCAGCACACAGCAGAACGATGAGAGGATGAAGACCCGTGGGGACCAGGGAGTGATGGAGTTTCCCTGGGCAGCTGAAAGGCGGCGGTGGCGGGGGAGGAATGGCAGGTGGAGCTGGATGGGAGGCTAAAGATCAGAAGATCGTTTCTGGTAGGCCTGGGGAGGAGCCTAAAATGTACCGCCCTGATTTAAACGCCTCAGTAACGTATAGCGCACCTCTGTACATTTGGGTGTCGTTACCCACCGTGTGCCTGGTGCTCTGAATCAGGGGACACTCCCCTCCTCCACGGCAGCATCCTGTCATCGCCCCAGCTTTGAGTGGGGTGGCTGCTGGCAGTCCCTGACAGCGGCGTGACGGCAGGGTCTGAGTCACAAGTGGCTGCTCTGGGAAGACCATGCTTGCAGAATAAAGGCTGGGATAATTAGAGAGGAGTGGGCGACAGGCCGTCTTCACTGGCATGGTAGTGAAGCCCCTTCCTTGCTGTGGAGACCGTCTTATGCCCTATAGCAGTGGTTCTCAGCCTTCCTAATGCTGCGACCCTTTAATACAGTTCCTCATGTTGTGCTGACCTCCAACCATACAATTACTTTGTTGTTACTTCATAACTGTAATTTTGCTATGTTATGAATTATAACGTAAATATCTGATGTGCAGGATATCTTATATATGACCCCCACAGGGGTCGAGACCCACAGATTGAGAACCGCTGCCCTATAGGGTGTTTAGAAGTTTCCCTTGCCTCTGTCGGATGCCAGAAGTATCTCTCTTGGCCAGCCCATCAACAGAACAAAAGTACTCTAAGCATGGCCAGGTATCCCTGAGATGTTAGAGGCTCCTGCGCTGAGTTAGAGGCAGGGGACTTGCTTGTATCCAAAGGCGTGCCCGCCGGGCGGTGGTGGCACACGCCTTTAATCCCAGCACTCGGGAGGCAGAGGCAGGCGGATCTCTGTGAGTTCGAGACCAGCCTGGTCTACAGAGCTAGTTACAGGACAGGCTCCAAAGCCACAGAGAAACCCTGTCTTGAAAAAAAAAAAAAAAAAAAGGCGTGCCCACGTGGTCAAGGGCGATGTTCTGAGCTAGGTTGCAGAAGCAGGCTGACACCAGCCAGCTCTGAGACACCCGGAATCTGAACTATGGGAAGGACCCCAAGGGGAGCTGATGAGAGAGGCACTGGGTGCCACCTGTGGCCAGAGCCAGTCGAGGTTCTCATTCAGCCACCACCTGTGACCCAGGAGACAGAGGGGCCACAACATGGGTGGAGTCTAGGGAGGACCATGGTGGGGGGCAACTGAAGGTGAAGTGGAGACGGGGTGCAGACTGTGTCTCAAGGTCTGATGGTGAAATATGATCGTGTTGGGATTTTACCTTTGGGGAGAAGAGCAAGATTTCATGATATTTTCAGTTACAAAGGCTTTACGTGTTCATTACAAAAACCCAAAGGTTACAGAAGTTGGTCATGGGAAGAGCTCACGGTTCTGTCTTCAGCGTTCCACAGAGCGGCCAGCACACAATAATTGCTGAGGCTGGGGTACAGCTCAGTGGGTAGAGTGCTCGCCTAGCACGTGGGACTCCCTGGGTTTGATTCCCAGCACCAGTGTAAACCGGATGGGGTGGTGCAAACCTGTAATCCCTGCACTCAGGAGGCGGAGACAAAGGGTCAGAGGTTCAAGGTCATCCTCAGCTGTGTGTCAGAGGCCAGCCTGAGTCAGGTAAGAGACTCTGTCTCAAGAAACAAAAACAGTCACACACACAAAAAGGTTGAATGACTGAATGAAAAAGCAAAGGCCCTCTGTGATCTACCCTGTCGCCATGATATTCCGTAATTTTGTGTGCTCCACCCCCAGATTTTTCTTTTGGTCAGCTACTGACATAAAAAAAAATTAAAAAAAAGGAACATGGTTTGCATATTGTTCTGTAATTTCTTTCTTCTTTCGTCAGGGTCTCATGCCTCCTGAACGCTGGTGTGACTGGATCTTCCTTCCTTTGTTTTCCTTCCTTCCTCCCTTCCTTCTTTTTTTCCCTTTCTTCATTAAGGTTCTACATACTGATTATTGAACCAACCAGCGTGCTCATGTAAACCAGATGAATAGCAAATCTCAGCCTCAGTTGAGCCTAAATCTCCAGCCATAAAAACTTGGAACTGTGTCTGGTAGACCAGATGACCTCTGTAGAACGAGTTGCCCCGGGATTCAGTGTGAACAGCCTTGTTGCTGTAAATCCTCCACAGCGCCTTAACAAGCTGTGCCTGACCTTGTTACCCACGGGACAGCGGGATGAGTTGGCTTTTGTTTCTTGGTCGGGGATCCCTTGATTTTGAAAGTCTTGTGAGAACACAGAGGCAGGGGAGCAACCGAGTCAGCTGATAGCCCACAATGGCAGCGATGACGATGACGGAGTGTTTTTTCTCTTCTCTTCCCCCACTTAAAGATATGGCATATCTTAGCTCTTCTAGAAGTGTGGATCTCCCCCGACACCACCCGAGTTGCAAAAATGGACACAGAAAGGCTTGCAAAGGTATCTCTAAACAGTCCTTTCTTTCCCTTATCAAGGGAGCCTGAGAGTTGAGTGGGGGCCGCTGACGTTCAAGGCTTCCCCTTCTATGTTTCCTGTCTTCCCAGCACTCCCTGTCATGCCAATCAGAGGGGAAGCGGTGCTCCCTGGAAGCTGAGTAGCAAGACTTCAAGGCTCCCCCACACTAGGCAACCTGCACTGCTCTGGGGTTTATCTCAGGGCTTGCTTTGCTGATATGCAAGTTTTCTGCCCTGGAACACTGTTGTGAAGGGATGCAGGAAGCATGGTGCTTCCTAGGAGCGGGGCTCCGAGGTCAAAGGGACCTGGAGCAGGGAAGGACACATGGCCATGTTACTAAGGCTGCCTTGAAAAGGCTCTTCCTCTCTGGGCCCTACTAAGTGCTAATTCACTGCCTGGTGGAGGTTGGGTGGGGTCCGGATGCAGTTTCTGTTCAGGCATAGGTCGGGTGGCTGCCACCATCACAACCGTCACCATCACCAACATCACCATAATCACCACCATCCCCATCATCACCACCATCACAACCGTCACCATCACCAACATCACCATAATCACCACCATCCCCATCATCACCACCATCACAACTGTCACCATCACCAACATCCCCGTCATCACCACCATCACAACCGTCGCCATCACTACCAGCATTGCTGCCTTAGTCACTGTTCTGTTGCTGTGAAGAGACACCATGACAAGGCAACTCTTATAAAGAAAAACACTTAATTGGGGCTGGCTTACAATTTCAGAGGGTTTAGTCCATTACCATCATGGCGGGGAGCATGGTGGTATGGTATCCAGGCAGGTTCTGGAGCAGTAGCTGAGAGCTACATCCTGATCCACAGGGAAAGAGAGAGACTCTGGGCTTGGCATGGGCTTTTGAACCCTCAAAGCCCACCCCCAGTGACATACTTCCTCCACAAGGCCACACCTCCTAATTCTTCTAATTCCTTCAATTAGTGCCACTCCCTGGCGACCAAATCTGTGAACCTATGGGAGCCATTCTCACTCAAACCACCACAGTGACTTTCATCACCATGGTCACCAACACCACCATCATCACTACTACCTTCTCTGAGGACATTAGCATCATCAGCATCACCATTATCTTCACCATCATCACCACTATCTCCAAAATCATTACCTTTACCAAACCATCAGCATCACTACGGTGGTGGTTTGAATAACAATGACCCCCCATAGGCTTGTATGCATGAAGATTTGGTTCCTGTAGTTAGTGAAACTAACTATAGGAGAGATAAAGAGCCATGGCCTGTTTGGAGGTATGTCATGGCAGGCTTTGAGGTTTCAAAAATCTCTCATCATCCCCTGTGTGCTCTCTCTGCCTCCTGCTTGTGGTTTGAGATGTGAGCTCTCACAACATGGTAGCTGTTCCTTCCACAATGCCTTTGTTCTGCCATCATGGACTCTAGCTCTCTGACACCACCAGAAGCTCAACTAAATGCTTTCTTTATAAGCTGCCTTGGTTGTGATGCTTTATCAGAGCAATAGAAAAGTAATTAATACAACCACCACTGTTTTTAACAAAATCTCGATTATTTGATTTTATCAATAAAGACTTGGGAGTCAGATGTTGGGGTGAAGGCCTGCTAGCTCAGAGAGGCAGAGAGAGCACCCAGCTCACCTTCCTCATCCCAGAAAACTCCTTCCTCCTCTCTGTCTCCAACCATTCTCTTTAAACTTTATGTCTCTCCCTTCTACTTCCTGGGTGCCTCTCTATCTGTCTTTCTGACTCCTTCTTACTCTCTATGGTCACTTTCTGTCAACTGGCTACCCGCTCTGCCTCTTGACCTATAGTTGACTTTATCCAATCCTGTTTACAACATTCAGTCAGAAAGCTCTTGGATTAAGGTTGTGTGCTAGGGCTGAGCCACACCACAAAAAGAAACAGGTTTTTCTAGTTAGTACTCCAATCTTGGGGTTCACAGTGTGATTAGACATCCTGCAACCCATCAGTACCTTCACTACTGCCACCATCTTCACCACCACCGCCACCTTCATTACCATCATCACCTTCACCATCATCACCACCACCATCACCTTCATTACCACCACCATCATCACCGCCATCACCTTCACCACCAACGCCATCACCTTCATTACCACCACCACCATCACCACCATCACCACCACCGCCACCTTCATTACCATCATCACCTTCACCATCATCACCACCACCATCACCTTCATTACCACCATCACCGCCATCACCTTCACCACGATCATCTTCAGCGCTACTGTCTCCACTATCGTCACCGGCACCACCCTCCATCTTCCCCGCCCTCTTCCTTCCACTTCTCCTCCTTGTGCAGATGCTCTGTGCTGGAACCAGGGGCAGGGTGGAGGAAGTAGGGCGCACTCCATCTCACCTTCTCCTTTCAGTCTTTTGGAATCTCAATCTAACGCTGCTTACGCCGAGGGAAAACCCCTTTGCCAGCCACTTCCTCTTCCCCACTGCTCCTCTTATTACTCTTTGTCTGTTCCTCTTTAGTTTGCAGAAGCAAAGTCACTGTAATCACAGAGCCAGCAGCCCCCATCTCACCAGTGATCCACAGATCACCTCCCCCAAAAGCAAGCTGTGGATAAGGAGCACTAAGGAGCCTGCACTGGGGAACCTCCCATCCTCTGTCCTGTGCAGACAGCGTGAACTGGGGAACCTCCCATCCTCTGTCCCTGTACACACGGCGTGAACTGGGGAACCTCCCATCCTCTGTCCCTGTACACACAGTGTGAAGTGAGGAACCTCCCATCCTCTGTCCCTGTACACACAGCTTGTGTGAACAGAGGCGGGTTCTGCAGAGCCCAGCATAGCGCTGCTCAGAGCTCAGGGCTGAAGCTGAGAGAGAACAAGGGTGGGTCTGAGAAGTGCTGCCCAAGACCCGTCTTTCTCAGCCTTTCTGGAACGGCCGCCTCTACAGCTTAACTTCATATCCATATTTCTTTACAGTAACAGATGGCTCCATTTACAGACACAGACAGTGATGACAGAAATGGTCTTGGGAGTGAGGAGGGGACGATGTACACACAGCTTGGTGCAACTGTTATCCGAGGGAGAGACCCGGATCTGCTTCTTATTTCTTCTAGCCTGGACAAGCAACTGGAAGCCTAGGCCACTCCTCCCCTGGCAACTCCAGCTGGAGAGCCACTGGTGGGGGGAAACACATTAGCTCCCTCACCCTCTGACCCAGCCCTCATCTCTCATTTCTGTGTACACATTTAGATAAATTAAGCTTATTCTTACTTTTTTTAAAAAAGAACTTTACCCTGCCTTATGGATTATATTGGAGACACCCTGTCTGGGAGGCTGAAGCATCAGAATGCAAACATCTCTCTATAGTTTCATTAATGGCTGCACGAGTTCCATATGTATGCAGCCCTTTTTGTAGCAATTTTTCAAGGAATGGCCACAATTTTCAAGATGTTGGTGCTACCATAAGCATGTCCCTGGGAGCTCTCTCCACTCACTCTGTATGGTCATTTTGTACACCATCCACACCTAAGGCTTTATTCATCCATCATCATCCACCCACCCATCCATCCATCTATCTACCCATCTGTCCACCCATCCATCTATCCACCCATCCATCCATCTACCCATCCACCCATCCTCCCATCCATCCATCCTCCCATCCAGCCACCCACCCACCTGCATCTATCCTCTACCCATCTACCATCCTTCCTATCTGCCCACACCCCTCTTTCCTCCTTTCCACCTCCTACCTGCCTTTTCTTCCTTCTTCCTCACTCACTCCTTTCTTCTCCCATCTCTCTTCCACAGACATTTATGAACCTCTTCCAAAGTGGCAGAACTCCCCTGAACATGGGATGCATCTGCTGTTCTCTGTTTCCAGATAAGGCATCCAGGCGGAGCCGCCTCCTGAGCTCTGTATCACTTGAACCCATCCTTTCCCTAGAACCTGGGCTGCATCCAGCATGGCAGAGACTTAACAGTCATGCAGATAGATATCTATATGCCATTTTCTGACCGTGTTCAATTCTGTCACTTCCTAAAGACACTAGAATCTTTTCTCCCTCACCCCTACTCTGGCTCGCGTTTGGCCGCTGTCACCTTTAATAATAACTCACTATGTAGACCAGGCTGGCCTAAAACTCAGAGATCTGTCTGTCCCTGTTGGAATAAAAGGTGTGGACACCATACCTGGCTATACTTGACATGTTTCTTCTCTAAATGTTGTGTGTTTGTTTAGTTTTATACATGTATGAGTGTTCTGCCTGAATGTCAGCCTGTGTGCTATGTGCCGTGCCTTTGGAGGTCAGGAGAGGGCATCAGATCCCCTGGAACTGGAGTTACAGATGGGTGCTGGGAATCCCGGGGCTCTTAGCTGCTGAGACAACTCTCCAGCCCCTCTACTTAGAAACATTAAGTTCTACTTCCTGTTTCTTCTGTGTGAAGGTTTATAAGGAGCAACCAGAGGCTGCCTTTTGGGAGCTGGTCCTCTCCTTCCACCATGAATCCGCGGACTGAACCCAGCTCACGTGGCTTCCTGCTGGGCCGTCTAGTCAGCCCTAATGATTCACCAGTTTCCTCCTCACCAGCGTGTCCTATTTCGGGAGGATTCATGGTGACATTCCAGACACATGCAACCATAGAAGAGAAAAGGGCCTGGTTACCTTTGTCGGAACCTGACATTTCGATGCTGAGGTCCCTAAGCAGCTGCTCCGTTTCCTCCAGCCAGGACAGGGCCACACGCAGGATGTCCAGGACAGCCTTCTGAAGCCCTGCCACGGGCGGGCTGAGCTTCAGGTGCTGAAGGAGCCCCACCTCCTTCTTCAGGTCGTGGCTGCTGCACGATTCCCTCATGCAAGCCTGAGAACAGACAGCTCATGAGCAGACAGACCCAGCGTCTCTAAATGGCCCTGGTGTGACTGGCCTGTGAGGAAGGAGATCTCGGACTTGGCCAGGAAGCAGTCATGAAGCCACCACTGCCCTGGGGCGTCCCAGCTTCATTCAGTTTCTTTTGGCAGCCTTTATTTGCTCCCATTTTAATTAGGCCTTAGTGTGTGTGTGTGCATGTGTGTGCATATGTGTGTGTGCGTGCGTGTGTGTGCGCATGTGTGTGTTCTCCTCTGTCGCTCTCATCTTATTGCCTAGAGACAGCGTCTCTCAGCGAACGGCCAGTTCACTATTCAGCTAGCCTGACTAGTCAGTGGGCTCGTGGTCTTCACCTCCCAGTGCTGGATTACAGCACCTGCAGCCAGGCCTGGCTACTTTACATGGGTGCTGAGGATTTGAACTTAGGTCTTCATGCTTGCACAGTGAGCACTCTATCCACCAAGCCATCTCCCCAGCCCCTCTTTTGATGGGCACAGGGGTCTCCTTTTTAGGCTGTGGAATGCCAAACTGCCGCGTCAATCTGTCTGACGCAAGAACCAAATCTGGCTACTTCGAGCCATCAGAATTCCTGTCAAGATCAACACACGCGCTGGACAGAAAGTGCCGTTTCCTGACTTGTTTGAAAGACCGCTGACGAGCCAACATTTGCACAAAACTCCCCAAATAGCAGCTTCTGATTGCAAGACAAGCAGAGGCAGCTGCACGCTCTAACTGCTCAGGGTAGGGGCACCAGGGGGCACCCCGGACCTTCGCCCCGCCTCTTCTAGAGGGGAAGGCAAGGGGCTGGAAATAGTTTGCACTGCTGGGCCAGAAAAGGAGGATGTTGAGCAGAAACATCTGTTTCTTTCTCTGTCTCTGTCTCTTTCTCGTGTATCTGTGTATGTGCATGTGTGTGTGTTCATGCACGTGTGTGCATGTGTAGGCGTGGAGGTAAGAGGCTCAGGTGTGGCTCCTCAGGGGCCATTCGCTTTGCTTTTTGAGCTAGGGGCTCTTACTGGGTAGGGTAGCTGGCTGGCCAGTGAGCCCCATGGAGGCACCTGTCTCCACTGGTGCTGGGATTAACAGATGCACATGACCATGCTCGGCTTTTTATGTGGGTCTAGGGGTCACCCTCGGGTCCTCGTGCTTGCATAAGCCACCATTTCACCAACTGAGCCATTTCCCAAGCTATGGTTTCTTTTTTCCTTTCTTTTTCTTTTTTTTTTTTTTTTTTAACGTCCAGAACCGGGGACTTCCCAGAGTTGGTACAGACATCTCTTCCTGTCTCTGAGGAGTTAATTAGTTTCAAAACAAAGATGCCAAAATCTGAGGAAGTTCAAATCCCTCCATAAGGGGCAAGGCACTTGTGTACAACCTACACACATCCTTCTGTAAACTTTAAATGGCCTCTGGGCAGCTTACCATACCCAGCACAATGTACGTGCTGGGAGAAAAGTGACCTGACAAATGCCCGAGTGGAGAAGGGCTTCGGTTACAGTCCTTGCCCGCTGTGCACGAGGTCAAAGCTTTCGTTCCTTGCACTACAAAAGCAAACAGCCCACCCCAAACAAAGTCAAAACTTCCCTGGTACATGACTGACTTTTGGGGTGTCTGTACGCAGGCCAGAGGTCAATGTCGGGGTCTTCCTCGGCCACTCTCCACCTTGCTTTAAGGACATTTTTTGGCGTGTTTGGGATAAGGTCTCATGAAACCCAGCCTGGCCTCAACCTTGCTGTGTAGCCGAGAATGACCTTGAGCATGACCTTGATCCTGGAGCCTTCACCTCCCAAGCACGGGGATTAGAGACCTGCCTCAGCAAGCCTGGTTTTCTGTGTTGATGTGATCAAACCCAGGACGTCATGCATGCCAGGGCTTATCTACACCCCGACCCCCACCCCATTTATTTTTTGGCAGTGTCTCTCACTGAACCTAGAGCTAGCCTATTTGGCTAGATTGGGTGTCAAACAAGCCCCAGCATCTTTCTGTACCTGCTTCCCCAAGAATTAGGGTTACAGGTGTGTGCTGCCCAGCTTTTTACTGTGGTTGCTAAGGATTCGAACTCAGGTCCTCGTGCTTGTGCAGCAGGTATGTTTCTGACTGAGCTATATTTTGAGCCGAATTGAGAAAATGAATCTGTCCGTGTTCAGTGTGGATGACGCTCTTTCCCTTTGCTATTTTTGGTCCGCAGATGTGAGATGCTGGGCACAGCGGGCTGACACCATCTGAAAAGGGTCGGCCATCTTTTTCTGGCCGGATCCACTTTCCCTGGGAGGCATTTTTGAGTGGGAGGTGGGTTTACAACAGGAGAGTGTTTCTCTCCAAACTGCTCCAGAAATCAGGACCATTTCTGGGCGAGCAGCCGAGAAGGGGGTGGCGAGCCTGTGAGGTCAGAGGCTACCTGGCAGCTGCTCAGCCGTGCCCTCAGCTTCTCCATGTTCTCCGTGGTCTCCTCCTGCTTGGAGTTGCTCAGATGAGTCTCCTTCTGCAGGGTCCATTTCCTCTGCTGGAAGCTGAGGTTGTCCTCGGTGACCTGCACGATCCTCTCTATCAGCTGGCGGGGGTGGGGGACAAGGAGGAAGATGTCTCAGGGCAGCGTGTCCCGTTAGGCAATGGCCGCAGAACGGCCGCACGGATTCTGCCTCAGTGGGCCAGAAGGAAGGCCCTCAGACGATGGCTCTGAAGGACACATTGCCCAGAAACTGCAGGTCTGTACTCTCCCTCTGAATCTGTTCCAGATCCTTCCACGCTTGTACCAGTGACTCTTGACACTAAGCCAGGTGTCCTGTGTGCCTTCACAGGCTGGGTTCTCCTCTAACTGCCCACTTGTGTTTTTTCTGTGTTTGATTGGTGTGTGTGTGTGCATGCACATGTGTGAGAGTATGCATTTGTATGTATTTGTGTGTGTACATGTGTGAGAGTATACATTGTGTGTGCATTTGTGTGTGCACATGTGTGAGAGTATGAATTGTGTATGTGCTTGTGTGTGTGCACATGTGTGAGAGTATGTATTGTGTATTTGTGTGTGCACATGTGTGAGAGTATGCATTGTGTGTGTATACATGTGAGAGTATGCATTGTGCATGCATTTGTGTGTGTACATATGTGAGACTATGCATTGTGTATGTTTTTGTGTGTGTGCGCGCGTGCACATGTGTGAGTGTATGCACTGTGTATTTGTGTGTGTGCACGCGTATGTGTAGACCAGAGGACACCGTTACCATTCCTCATGTGCCATCCGCCCTGTTTTGTTGAGGCAGGGTATCTCACTAACATAGAACTTACCAAGTAGGCTAAGACTGGCTGGTGGGAGACCCCGAGCCCCTGGGATCCGCCTGCTGCTCCCCAGGATTGGGGTTACAGGCATATCACACTACACAGACCTTTGCGTTTTATGTGTTTCAGGGATTGAACTCAGGTCCTCGTGCTTGTGAGCCAAGCATTTTCCCAACTGAGCCATCTCTCTAGGCTCCACTTACAGCTTCTTGGCTTCTTATCTGCCCTTGGCCACAAAGGGCTGAAAGATAACATGGCCAGCACCCCAGAGGCCTGTCTGCACTGCTGTGGCTATCTTCCCCTTTGGAAGGGATCAGCCAAGGTATGTGGCCCGAAGCCAGGCCACCCCTCCGCTCACAGAGCATCAGTGTGTCTGGTGACCAGACGCGAGTCTGCCTGGCTGGACTTGATTTCCACAAGTAACACGTCGAGGGATTTCAAACCAGCTTTCACTTCAAAAGCCAGGAAATCCCCTAAAATCAAAACAAATCTCTGTGGTGTAGCAACAGTGTGAAGAAATATGTGTCACTAACAAAAACAGAAGCATATGCTCTCAGGGTCTGGCATCCAGATCCCCCGAGACAGAAGCGAAGGAGTCACGTGGCCGGAGAGCCACACTAACCTGCTGGTCGGTGATGGGCTTGTCACGGAATGGCTTTGTTTTCCCGAAAGTGGCTTTGATGACCTGGCTTCTGAAGTGCTCCAGCTGTGGTAGAAAGAGGGTGACAGGTGTGTGGGGGGGGGTTGTTGGGACAGAGGCAAGGCTGAGATGGCGTCTCCACCTCTGGGTCCAGGCCACACCACTGAACGGCCATTTGGGGCTCTGAAGCACTGAGCTGCAGAGCCATAGACAGAACAGAGCTGGCTGCAAGTATGTCTTAGTGCCCAGCCCGACCCAGGCACCCGGTCCCTGTGCATATGTCCCGCGCCCTCCAAAGAGCCCTTTGCTGTCAGTTATCCAACGGGAAGCCTGGACCCAGGAGTGCTTTCTCATAATTGCTAGGCTGTGAAATAAACATGGAGGCGGTCAGTCCAAATACGTTTGTAACCAGCACTGGCGATGGGAGAGGAGAAAGCAACTTCTGTCTCCAGGGGTCTTGGACGTCAACCGTCCCAAAGCCCCTGTCCACTGTAATTCATTTCTGTGTCCCTAGAGTCAGCACAGTGCAGGCACGGAATGGGCACTCAGTGGGCGTTTGCTGGGCACCGAGACATGGGAACATACAGGTCAGACCTGTAGATGGTACCCAGTGCCTCCCATGGGCTGGAGTTTTCAGCTTCAGGTGAAGGGGATCAGATCAGCCTGTGTGTCAAGTCAGAGACTAGAGAACCCCAATTCTAATGTTCCCCAGACTCTGTCAGGAGACAGAGGCTAAGAAGCCTGGTTGAGAATTTACTCCCACAGTTGTGCTCCACTGGACAGATGTGAGCATTAACGACTAACGTCCATCCATCCCCAAGAGGTCAAGGTGCTCAGAGACCCCTGGACTCCAGGGAACCAGACACGATGACAGTACCGAAAACCTACAAGCCAGGAGCTCCAAGCTCTCCTGGCCCAAGGAAGGGCCAAGCTGGTCGGGAAGTTGATGAGGTGAGGAGGCCCTGTGTGCGGGGCCCCTGGTGCCACTGGAGAGACTGTTTGTGGGGATGAGTGCCCACAGTGGGAGGTGACAGGAGCTCAGGAGGTGGGATGCGTGCTGGTGACACTGGGCCGGGCTGAGGCGATGTCAGCTGGGCAGGGCCAGGACAGCGAGAAGGCCAGGAGGAGGGAGGAGGAAGGCTGATTCCCTTGCTCTGCAATCTGTGTGTGGAGCAATCTCAGGACCCTCTGGGTGACCCAGCTTGGAGCAGAAATGAAGGCCTTCAGGCAAGGGGCACAGGCCATGCCCTCACATCAGGTGTATTTTGTAGGGGGAGCCGAGGGGGCAGCTCAGGGACACAGACTGGCAAGTCTGGGCAATGGGACGAGGGACTGAGGACCGAATAGAGGAATCGCAGGTGTGATGGGTTATTTGATGAGGGCCTCTAATGGCCGTCCGGTGATTAGCACCGTCTAATGGAGTATGCCTCTGAGTCCCGAGTGTGGGGACCAAACCTGGTTACACCTGGTTACAGTCTAGATGGTGGGAAAGGGAAATCCTCGTGGACTTGAATTATGGTTCTTAGCCTTTGGGGGTGGCTCGGAGCCCTTCTGAGCCCCTGCTGAGTGCTACAGTAGACCCTTCTCCCAGACACAGAAGCACAGAACCCTGGGAGTACAAAGCGAGTCTTGAGCCAGGTGGGGCATCAGGAGAGTTTCCCACAGAGAATTCTGGACAGCTGTCCTGGGTGGCTTAGGTTTCTGCTCTGGCTTTTCATTGGCTCTCCCCAGTCCCTTGGTAAGGTCTTGGGTCATTTTGTGTCTTTCACTGAGGGACCCTGTGCCGTGGAAGGCCCATTGGCCGTCTTGGACCAGAGCAGTGGAAGCTTGCCTTTCCTGCCCAGCTGGCCAAGGGGTCTGTCACTATCCTGCCCAGGACCTTCTCTGTTTGGTGGGGACTTTGGATACTCAGGGCTTACTTATTAAAAAACAAACACATTTCCTTAAGGTCACTATGAATCTGCTGGGGTTCCCTGGGGGGGGGGGGAGAGACCAGAGTAAACAAATTTGGCAACTGAAAGTATCGGGAGAAAGTTCTAGAAACATCCCAGAGAGGAAGAGGGGGTGGGGTGGGGGATATGGGACCAGGGGACCAGGGGCAGGGTTGGCTGTCTGGCCAGAGTCTTGGGTCACAGCACACTATTGGAGTGAGAGCTGCCCAGCAGGAGGAGGACGGAATGGCAACATCTTCTGGTCTTAGGCATCACACCCCACCCCACCCCACCCTGACACCAAAATTGGCTGCCTGGGTGTAGGAGACCCCCCGGGGCACATGGCCCAACAAGGAGGGCTGCAGAACGCTCCTACCTGGCCTACTGCCCTTTCCAAATTGATTTTAATGAGGCTCTCTCTGTTCCCCATTTCTTGCAGCTGAAGCAATTTCCTTCTGGAATCTTCCTGAAGCTTCTCTTCAACCTGAAAGGATGATGAAGGTGTGTGCTGTCCGCAGCTAGTGAGGTCATAAGGCAGTCTGGGGAGATCCCTTGAGGCTAGCCAGTGGCTGTTGGGGGGGTCAAAAGGGAGTACAGTGCAGAAGCTGGCTTACAAGGCACTGTCCCCTGGGGCCAAGGGCCAGGCCTAGCTCCCTGGGCTCAGCCAGGCTAATCCTACCCCAGGCTTGAACCCAAGGGCAGCTCCTAATAAGTCATGTGACTTCAGAGAGTTATTTTGCTGGGTCTGTGACCCAGTGTTCCATGGGGTGGGGGTAGGGGGTGTTATCAGGGCTGCCTCAAAAAGTTACGATGGGGTTAGGTGTTTGGAGTGGCCGTTGTATGTCCTAAGGGGTCTCCATGTTGTGTTAGGGTTTGCTGTCTCTTACAAAGCTGGAAGATAAGCTGCCATTATTCTGACACCTCAAGTGACCTGTCCACAGCAGGTCACTTGGTAAATACCAACACCTTGGTAAATACTGTTATTAGATATGCTGTCCTGGCCACATCACCAGCGGGGGCCTCACGAGGCTAGCCAAGCAAGACTTTGAAAGCTGGAACTTGCAAAGTAGTTTAAAAGGGATGGGGACAGGAGCCTGGCGACTTATTCCCGCCTTGTATGCCTGAGTGTGCTCAATGCTGCCCTCTGCTGGCCATCATGGGGCACGGCTGCATCTCCAATCACGCAACAACTTTTTTCGAATTAGCAGATGTTGATTAGGTAGAATGGGCTTCTTGATGGCATGTTAACACACTTATTCCTCGCCGCCCTCTCTTGACCTCTCCCACATCAGCTCCTTCCTCTTCCTGACGTGTCCCTTCCCCTTCCATGAGGACCCTGGCTCTAGCGTGGATTGGAGGGGTGAGTGGGGGGGAGGGAGTTGTTGCTCCTCAAAGGTTTCATGCTGACACAGTCACACAGGCCTCTTATTGGAGTCTGGGTGTGTGTGTGTGTGCAAAGATATCATACACCTGTGGGAGCCAGCCATGGTACGCTAAATATGAACAGATCACCCAAAGGAAGTTCTTTACTTCCAACCATTATCACCTGCCAGTGTAGGACTCAGGCATGATAAAATTAATGGAGGCCTGAGTCTCAGTTGTTTACCCTGAAGCAATACCTGGTAGCAGGAAAGACCATGAACTAAGATTACCTGAGAACTACCCAAGAACAAACCATTCAGAGAAATGCCCAACATTCCAACTGTTGTAGATAGGATCACCTGCCAGAACACTCACCAGCACACCCCTAGACAAATGTCAGTCAATCAGGGGTCCTGAACTTCAGAAGCTCCTTATCCCCACCTATACTACTATAAAAACCCAACTCTAACTGAGCTTGGGGCTTTCCATTTATTCCACTAGTTGGACACACAGAGAGACCGAGTTTACAAACTTGCATAAAATAAAGGCTCTTTGCTTTTACATACTCCTTGTTGGCTTTTAGGGGACTTCATGAATTTGGGCATAACAACACCCAGAACCCTTCAGAACTTTATTCAGAGCTCCGTGGGACAGCAAAGAGCCTCTTAGACCGAGGCTGCTTGAGAAGACTCCTTATAGCTTAGGTCTTCATGGCTTTCCCTGCAGGTCTTCCTAGGTCTAAGAAATCCGGACAGCCGTGCTTGGCCTCGGATCTGTTCTGTATCCCTCATCCCCGTGGTCTCCTCCCTGCTCCCCAGCCCAAAGCCCCAGAGCCAGCCTCAGCCACAGCCCAGTTCTGCCCTGGCCCGTGAGTGTCTTGCCTGCCCTGTCCCTCCACACTGGCACAGAGAAGGTATTTAGAGGGGCATTTAGTCCACAGAGACTTATCAGGTCCCTACCCTGGCCACAGCCTCAGGCTGGGCACTGGGGACCTTTGGCCTGAGATTTATGTCCCTTCTAGTGCATTCTTCAGGGTACTGTTAAGAGTCACCCAGATGTGTCTGCAGCAGCTTCCTTCCATGACGCCTGGGTGACCCGGGCTGCCTGATGCCGTGGGCACTGGCCATGTCTGGATATATGTGACATGTGATTAGGGACAATGAACACATCCTTGCTCAGTGGAGGATGTGGACTTTCAATTGAATTTAAAAATAGCATTTTATTTTTAAATATGAATATGGAGAGGTTGAATTTTAAAACGAATTTGATTTCAGTTTCAATAGTCACACATGGCTAGTGGCTGTGTCATAGCGATGAGTCACCTAGATGGGGCTGCTGGCTTTTTTTTTTTTTTTTTTTTTTTTTGTCCCTTACTGAGTGCACGATTTCACATGAGCTATTCCGCTCCGAGATGCCTCCTCAGCCCTCACTCCCTCATCCGGCACACGGACACGACAGTTCCAGCCCTGAGAGTGGGCTGAGTGAAAAGGCAGGATGCCTGTTGCAACACCAGAGGCAGCACTGTCACCACGGTCGTGACTAGTCACAAACACGGAGTGGCCAATGCCTGGGTCAGACCCTCCAGGTGCTCCTCTCTGCATTCAGTACACAGCCCAAACGCCAAACTTAATCAAAAAACAAAACAAATAAAGCCACCAAGTCTAAGACGCAAGAAGCCCATAGGAATGGGAACAGAGCAAGGAAGAGGCGTTCGCCCAGGAAAAGTTGTTGTACCTTAGCTGTGAGCCAAAGGGAAAGGGAATCTCAAAACACAGCAAGGGAAGACGGGTTACATAATAACCATCCCACAGTAATAGTAATTATGTAATAGTTAGACTTACAGTCAGGAGACAATAGACAATAGACAGAAAATCACTGTCAACCGAGAAGTCAGTGCACAGTCAAAATATGTTCCCAGAATGAGGGGTAATACATATATATGCATGCACACACCAAACACACACACACACACACACACATCAAAGTACACACAGTACACATGCATGCACACATACACACATACCACACACATGCACTCCTGAGAGACTTTGTCATCAATAAAGCCTAAATCATTGAGGATATATTATTTTAAGCAGAAGAGCAAGGACCCTGGATGGTTACCCTGGGATACAGGTGGATGTGAACATAGAGTGTGCAGAAGCACTTGGGATGTCAGTGTATGAAGGGATGTCCAGGTACAAGTGGTGCTAATAAGGTGATGTTGGTAGCCATTGTGGCATCCAGGAGTGGGGCGAAACCACCCACGGACACTGGGTTTTGAGAAGCTGAAAGTACATGTTTAGAATAACTGAGAAAAGATACCAAAAGAGTCAAAACTCTGTCAACATTGGGCAGTGGAAAGACACAATAGCTTCTGTGCTGTTCTTACCTGAAGAAGAGCCAAGTGAGAAAATGCCAAGTGAGTACAGGCGAAAATAAACCAGGGAAAACTGTCAATCGAGAGATGAGCATGATGATGCTCGCCTTTAACCCCAACACTGGGGAGGCAGAGGCAGGAGGAGCTCTGTGAGTTCAAGACCAGCCTGGTCTACAGAGCAAGTTCCAGGACAGGTTTCAAAAGCTACACTGAGAAACCCTGTCTCGAAAACAAAACAAAACAAAACTAAACTAAACTAAACAAAAAGGAAAACCTCAGGCAATACCAGAGGGTTAAAGTCACCTAGAGAAACACTTCTGTATACAATGTAGTCAGTCTAGAAACCAATAACCAAAAGACAGCCAAGAAACCCTCATATATTTAGATACTAGAAAATAACCCCAAATACCCCATATGCCATTGGAAAAGACTGGGTTCTGAGTAACAGCGGAAAACATCCTAGAACATGTGGGGTGCAGCGAAAGCCTCATTTAGAGGAAAACAGGTCCCAGAAAGCAGCTTGGCTCTGTTACCGTGATGACAATGACTCTGATGAAGAGGAAAGCCAAAGTCAACCAATTTTCACTGAAAAGGTATTTTGCGTAGTGAAGTTCATTGAGCCAGTGACTCGGCGTGTTTCCAAATGTTTCTATTTTCATTGTCTTGGAATTGTTTTTATCTGGGCGCATTTTTTAAAACAGTTTTCCTGGTCACTGTTGTTTAAAGGTTATAAATTTTATCTTTACATGTGTGTCTCTTTGTGTGTGTGTGTGTGTGTATGTGTGCGCACGTGCATGAGCGTGTGCACACGTGCATATGAGTGCAGGTACCTAAAGGACCTGGTGACCTGGGTCTCAGCAGCCACATCAGGCAGCTCACCACCACCTGTAACTCCAGCCCAGGGGACCTGACACTCCTCTGGCTTCCAAGGGACTCATATGCTCGTAAGTGTGTGTGTGTGTGTGTGTGTGTGTGTGTGTGTGTGTGTGTATGCCAGAGGTGTCCTTTTTTTCCCCTTTCCAATTACATTTTCTTTTTATTGTTTGAATTTCACTCTACCCCCACTTTCCTTTATCTTTTTTCTTATTTTATGTATATGAGTGTTTTCCTGCGCATGCCTAGTGCCTGCAGAATTCACAAGAGGGTGTCGGATCCCTTAGAATGGAGTTACAGATGGCTGTGAGCACCACGTGGGTGCTGGGAACTGAAGCTGCGCGGGCAGCCAGTGCTCTCAATCACTGAACCGGCTTCCCAGGCTCTGCTTTTTTCCCTCCCGGCTTTATCGGCTCTTTGAGTCTGTTTAACGCTGCTAATATATGCATGGCTGCAGGGCCATCTACTGGCCAGCAACCCAGGGCCGGCATCCTTGAAGAAAGCTCTTATCCCCCAGGCTTCAATTGCTAGTGGTGGGACCGAGCGATTTTGGCTGATTCCGCGTGCCTTGAGCGGTCTCCACTTTTCTTTTGTTGACAGTGTCATTCATTGAACCTGGATTCTTCCAGACTGGTTAGAGGGCCCCTGGGGTCTGCTTTTCCCCATCCACCCCAGTGCTGGAATTGTCTATGTGCTACCCCTTACGGCTTTTACACGGGTCCTGGGGATCTAAACTCAGATGTCCATGCTTGCGTGACAGCCAGTTTCCCCAGCGAGCCATCTCCCCAGCCCTGAATTTTATTTTACTTTACTTTCAGTTAATTTAAAAATTAGATAGTCCTGTGTGGCTGTCGCTCACTGAAACTGATGCCACATCTCCCGGGACAGGAAAGCAACTTGAGACCTACTAGGATCTGCAGGTGGGGGTGAGCCTCCCTGAGATAAACCGGGAATCATTTTATCCTGCGAATCCGGCTCCCTGTTACCAGCTCCCATCCGCGAGCAGCCGCAGATGCCAGCATCGGCCACACGGGGACGCTGTGCGGGTGGAGCGGGACGGGGGACGCGAGCTTCCCTGAACCACGCACCTTGCTCCTTTCTCGCAGCGTCTTGGAGATGGTGTTCTGATTGGAACTGTTCTTCTTCAGCTCCTCTCGGAGCTTCTTCACTTCTTTCTCCATGTCTTGCATTTGCTGAAAATAAAATTCAACCGCAGAGAAGTCAAGTTTCCCTAGGCGTGGCAAGAGTTACCTCCTAAACGGAAGGCTCCCCTTCCTCGGGACTCCCTTATTCCTGGAGCTCGTTAAGGAAGGATCCTTGCCCCATTCCAGCTAAGCTCCTTCTCAGCTCTGTATCTGAAGGCAAAGCAGATCGTTTCCTTCCCAGTTAGTATATTCAAAGTACTCAATAAGGAAGAGTTTCTTTTGGGGGTGGGGGGAATCAGCAGGAGGGTTTGGAAGAACGGCTCAGTGGCTGAGTATTTGCTGTGCAAGCCTGAGGTCTGGGGTTCGGATCCCTAGCAGGCAAATAAAAAACTGATGGGTGTGGTAGCCGGCCTGGAATCCAGCAGCAGAAGGTAGAGACAGAGTCTCTCAATCAAATCCAGAGCAAGCTGGCTAGGAATAAGAGTCATATGGGGAGCTCTGGGTTTGATTGCGAGTCCTGCCTCAGTGGTGGAAGAATGATGGAGGATTACATCAACCCCGGCTTCCACACGCTCACGCGTGCACACACACGTGTGCACCTCCCCTGACACGGTCTATACACATGCATGCCACAGGCATGTGGAAAATGGGGGGTAAAACAATAAACAATCAGCACAAATCCTGGATTAAGTACGTAAGATACCTATTTACTCATTAGAATCACACGTTGTATTTTTAGACCGACTAAGATAAGGCTTATTTGAAGGATAGAATGGTATAGATTGTATTATTATTATTATTACTATATTTGAGGCAAAGGGAAAGTTGTCCTCAGGACCTGGAAGAGCACACACATCTCCTCCTGGAGAATGGAAGGTATTTGGCCAGTGAGATGAAAGATATAAGCAAAGAGTATATTTTCATTGCAGTTTTTTAAAGGTTTATTTTTAAGTGTGTGTGTGCGCGCACGTGTGTGTATGTGTACATGAGTGTGGGTGCCCTTTGAAGCCAGGAGAGGGCATCATACACCCTGGGACTGGAGCCATAGGGTCACAGGTGGCTGTCAGTCCCACAGTAAGGGTGCTGGAAAGTGGACTCAGGTCCTCGGCAAGAGCCTTCTTCCTTGTCGAGCCGTCCTCCCTGCCCCTCTGCAGTTACGTTCTGCTGGTTGCCTCCTGTCTAAGGCAAATGACAGTCTTTCTCTTTCTTTCATTCTCCCTGAGTGTCATAAGGTCTCTGCCGGTTAAACCACAGAAGACACTCCTGTTTGTAATACTGTCTGCCTGTGGCTGCGACCACATTTAAGATGGCGGAACTCAGACTTAGGTAACCGTAAGTCCAGGGCAGGGAACTTCTAGGACAGCAGCAGGTGTGGCCTCCTTCCCCATCCTTGTCCCTGCTCAGCCCCAGAGGAAACCCATGAGAAAGACAGAGTCAACTGGCCAGGGAAACCTGGAGAGACCTCCATGGCTTCCTCCAAACAGCACATGGCCAGAACCTTATACTCTGGGGAGGGCCAGGGTCCTGTCAAAACACCAAGGTCAGCCTCTCAGAGGTGTGCTCACCGACGAGGACATTCAACTCACGCTTCGGCAGAGTTTCAGCTCTTTCTCCTGAGCCTCCCTGCTCTCCCTCTGGGCCTCTTCCTTCCTTAGCTCTTCTTTCAGCGCAGAACACTGAGGAGAGAGAGGACAGCAAAGGAAGAGGCCAAGGCTGGTGATGTGGAGGTGTCTGGGGGAGGGCGTTCCCAGGGCCCCAGCAGGCCCGAGAGCGCTCTGTGCTGCTCCACTCCAATCGCACACCCACGTTGAGCAGGGGGGACAGCTGGTGTTTGGCAGGCACACAGATGCGGCAGGGGCTCCGGGTTCCTGCCTCTCTGAAGATCTGAGATCTCAATTCCTTTTCGGAAGCTGGCAATCCGCATCATGAGAAAAGCCCATCTTTGAAGAGCTGGGTAAGGGAACAAGTGTGGGATGCCACCGGAGACCGGGGTGGCGCCAAGGGCTGCATCTGGTTGCTTCTCAGGTTGTGACCACCTGGCAGTGGAGGGAAATGCAGCCCTCCCTTTGAAGAGGACTGGGCAGCAGGCAGCTGGAGCGTAAAAAGATGCCCTTTATCCTACCCAGTGATTCCACATAACAATCTTGTCAGTTTTAACTGTCAGCTTGACCCATCCTAGTTGCCGGGGAATAGGGTGAGGAATTATTTACCTGGGATGACCTGTGTGTATGCCTATCGGGGGAGTTTTTGTGATTCTTAACGGATGTGGGAAGACCCAGCCCATTGTGGGTGGCACCACTCCCTAGGCAAGGGATCCTGAACAGCATGAGAGAGAGGTAACAACCGACAACAAGCAAGCAGGGTCTGTGGGATCATTCTCTCTCTGCCCTTGACTAAGGACACGAGGCTTCGAGTCCCTGCCTTGACTTCCCCTCAGTGGTGAACTATAGCCTAGAATTGTAAGACAAATAAATCTGATAAATCATTTCTTTCCTGAGTTGCTTTTTTTTTCTTTTTCTTTGGGGGGGGGGAGTCAAGATATTTTACCTCAGCAACAGAAATGAAACTAGGGCAGAATGGACATGCTTATGAGTTAGACTCTGCATGATGGTAATTCCGTTCTCGTGCTCACTGTTCTTTGGAAAGCTGCAGGGAGGGGGCTGGAGAGATAGCTCAGTGGTTAAGAGCACTGGCTGCTCTTTCAGAGGACCCAGGTTCAATTCCCAGCACCCACATGGCAACACATAAACACTCCAGGGGGATCTTGCGCCCTCCTCAGGCCACTACAGGTGCTGCACTCACCTACCCGTGCAGACAAGAATGATTAAAAAGAGAATAATTCTTAGAAAAAAAAAAAGAAAAGCCATATGGAATCTGGCTCTCTATGTTGGTCTGCCGAGGAGGACATTTTAGGATTTAGTCTTCGGGCAAGTCCTCCTTGTGTGCTTGGACCCCACGCTGCGGGAGGAGGCTGTGTAGTCCGAAGTCAAGGCTAAGAGAGGTGAAGAGGGGCATGCCACATGACCCGTGTGGGTCCCTCATACTGAGCACTCGGGAGACGGTGACCTGGACACTCACTCTGGAGCTCAGGGCTTCCAGCTGGAGCTCCTTCTCCTTGTTCTGATTCTTCAGTTGGTTCACTTCCCCCTTCAGCTGCTGAACTTGCTCATTCCGCGCTGACACATCTTTCTGTAACGACGTCACCATCCCTGTTTCGAACAAAGCAAAAGCAGAGACCAAAGACACAGCAAGGATTACTGTCATGGCTGCCACGGAGGACCCCAGGAGCTGGAATGCGGCTGAGACCATGTTGTATGGACGTTTCCTCCACACAGAATCTCTTCCTGGTGGAGGAGATGCTCCTCCTGCCGGTTGCCCTGATAAACATTGATGTCTGACTTTCCCTTACTCTCTTTGTTTGTTTGTTTTTTGAGATAGGGTCTCTCATCGAGCGGAGCTTAGCAATTACATGAGTCCCAGGGATCTTGCTGTCTCTGCCTCCTCTCTGCTGGGATTACCAGTGTGCACCACCGTGCTGACTTTTAACACAAGTTCTGGGACTGAAATTGGGTACCCTTGCAAATACCTTACTGACTGAGCTGCTTCCCTGGACCTATCTCTGTTCCAGAATTCTTGACACACTTCCCTTTCTCTCTCCTACTGCCTCTATCCCCTCTGGTATTGAGAACACACTGCGCTCTGCTTCAAATACCCTAGTGGCTTTCCAGCACACTTAGAAAACAATTCCCTGTGGGATTTGGCTCTGCCTTCTTCTCTGACATCCCCACCCCCTCACAATTTTCCTTTCCCTGAGACTCACCTGCTGCGCCTTCAGCAGAGCTAGCTGGTTCCTACCCCAGGACCTTTGCATACACTGCTGCTAACAGCACTCTGTTCTACAGGGCTCTTCCTGCCGACACATGTGGTCTCCTTTTCCTTACTCCCGAAGCCCCTCACCACCATGCTGGCCCATGTTGTTTTCTTTACAGCATCATTTAATCTCCCAGATGCTTGCTTACTTACCGATTTGACTGTCATTGTGTCACCCTCGTAGGAACTGATTATGACTTGCTCAGGGTTCTCTTCCCAGTAAAGTACTATAGGGGTAGATGGATGGGTGGGTGGATGGGTGGGTGGGTGGGTGGATGGATGGGTAGATGGGTGGATGGGTGGATGGGTGGATGGATGGATGGATGGGTGGGTAGAGATAGGTGGATGGATGGGTAGATGGATGGGTGGGTGGGTGGATGGATGGGTGGATGGATGGATGGATGGATGGGTAGAGATAGGTGGATGGATGGGTAGATGGATGGGTGGGTGGGTGGATGGATGGGTGGATGGATGGATGGGTGGATCCATGCTAATTAATCCCTGTGGCTGGCAAGGTGGCTTATGAGTTAACTGTCTCCTCCCCATATTCTTCAGCATGGAAGTACCTCAGTTGATCAGTTGGTAAAATGTCTTTACTTGGGGCCAAGAGCCCATTAAAGGAAGTGGTTCTCAGGGCTCCAGGCCACTCAGCATATTTGTTCTCCCTGAAGAGATGGGTGCTAGCTAACAGAATATGTCTACTCAGATGGTGAGTGACTTTGGTCACAGGATGGCTGACTTTGAGGTGGTCCCTGGGCTAAAGTTGGGTGGTAAGCACACTTCTGGGGAAGACCCCCAGTCACCAATAATATGGCCTGAGGGTTGCTAAGAACTCTGAGGCTCTGTCCAAGCTCAAGGAGCAAAATGTGGTAGTTGATTGGTGATGTCTGCCAGGGCCACAAGAGTGAGTGGTGGGGTAGCGAGCGTCTCCTAAGCCTGACTCCAGAAGAGCTCACCTGATGTGATGGTGTGGTCTCTCTTTAAGTTCTCACCTTCATTCTTCAGCGATGCGATTTCCGAGTTGCGCTCGGCCAGGGTATGACACAGCATCTGGCTATAGCCTTTTTGAAGGGCGCTGATCTGTGAGAGGAGGCAGCACATAGTCAGTGGGCATCTGGCCCAGATCCAAGATGCAGGGGTATTTCCCAAACCTGTGCAGAGATTCTGATGTGTCACAAGACCTTGTTTTGGGGCTGACAAAGGTGCCACTGCCCTGGGATATCTGTCCTTTAATGTGCTTTCTTAGGTTATTGGAACTCTCAGAAATAGACCAGTCCTGGGGTTCCCATCAACCATCACGGGCTAGATGTCAAGCAGAGTTCAAGAGAGGGCACGGGTCATAACCTTAATTTCCTCAGATGACAATGGGCATATTTCACAGAGCCCTCTAGAAGACGTGTTCAACCTGAAGCTCACAGACTGTGTGTGCCCCAGGTTAGCTATGGATGTGATCCAACACAAAACCAGAAACTGATTTAAAACACTATGAGTTTTAAAAACAATTTTATTGGGGGTTTGTTATGAGCATACCATAGTGTATCTGTGGAGATCCAAGGACAACCTTCAGTTTCTCTCTCTCTCTCTCTCTCTCTCTCTCTCTCTCTCTCTCTCTCTCTCTCTCTCTTCCTGTGGGGCCCAGGAATTTAGCTTAGGTAGTTAAGGCTGGAGAGATAGCTTAGTGGTTAAGAGCCCTGCCTGCTCTTTCAAAGGTCCTGAGTTCAACTCCCAGCAACCACATGGTGGCTCACCACCATTTGTAATGAGATCTGGTGCCCTCTTGAGGAAGAGACCTGGTCAGTCATCCTCATCAACTTAGACCACGGAACCCAATATGGACAAGTTCAACAGAACCGCATATACGGCTGCCGTGCAGGTTTCAACATTGCCCGGGAACACATTTCATTTTCTTTTTCATTTCAGTTAAGGCTTGGGAGAAAATGCTTTCACTGGCCCATGACATTACTATTAGTTTGAGATTTCTTTTAAAAAAAATAGTGTAGTTCTTACACATGAATACTGTCAATGGCATTGTTGAGTTGCAATGTCCAAAAGCCGGACACACTCGCCAGTGCTCCAGACATAGGCACAGACCTGGTTTCTTCTACAGAGCCTCGTAGCACCCTAAAAGATGTCCCCATACGGTTCCCACTTGAAATCAAGATCAGGAGAGCTGGGGTGGCCTGCTTAGGGACTCACAGCTGGCCTGCTGTGCGGCTTCATTAAGCCCAGCCTGCAGGTGCCTGGCTCCCCGTCTATCACAGGCCACAGGAACTGGTGTTGGATGCTCTGGGGGCTGATGGCTCAGGGGGTGAAGTGCCAGCTTTGTGAGCATGAGGACAGATCTCCAGAATCCACGTCACAGAGCCTGGTTCGGTGGTCTGTGCCCATTACCCCAGCCCTGGGGCGGGGACAGGTGTGTCCCTGAAGCTCATTGGCCTGCTACAGTGGTGTGTGCATTTAACCCCCAGTCCAGGGAGCTGGTGTGGGAACAGGAGGCTGACCAGCCAGTTTCACTTGACCATAACCTTCCTGCTAATTAAGAGATCCTGTCAAGAAACAGAAGGGGAGAGCTATTGGGAAAGATTCCTGAGATGGGCGTGGTGGCGCACACCTTTGATCTCAGGACTCAGGAGGTGGAGGCAGGTGGATCTCTGAACTTGAGGCTACCCTGGTCTACAAAGGGAGTTCCAGGACAGCCAGGGCTACGTAGAGAAACCCTGTCTCAATAAATCTAATTGGGACAGTGTTGGGGAATATTATTTTCAGGTGTGTGACTTTTGTTTAGGTTACATCTGTTTAACTCTGTGAAGCTGTGTTACGGGGCCTGATGGTCCTAATAAAAAGATGACTGGCCAATAACGAGGCAGGAGCAAGGATAGGTGGGGCTGGTGGGCAGAGAGGATAAATAGAAGGAGAACTCTGGGAGGGAGAATGAGGAGCCATGAGAGAACAAGGAGAGAAGGACACAAGGGCCAACTACCCAGTCACCCAGCCACGGAGAAAGAAGCAAAGAAAGGTATACAGAAATAGAGAAATATAAAAGCCCAGAGGGGAAAGGTAGCTGGGACAATTTAAGTTAAGAAAAGCTTGCAAGAAACAAGACAAGCTAAGGCTGGGCATTCATAACTAAGAATAAGCCTCCCTGTGTGATTTATTTGGGAGCTGGTTGGTGGGCCTCTTAAAAAAAAAAAGTCAAAAGGATAAAATGTCACACAATAGGACAGGGGCAGGTACCTGGCTTTAACCTTTAGTCTCTAGCATATATATATATATGTATGTATATATACACATACATACATATATACATACATACACCTACATGCATGCACAGACACCTGTACACAACCACATTCACACACACACACACAGGCAGACAGACAGACAGAGTTGGCGTCTATACTGTGTAGCCTGTACTTGTGGGTGGGGACTGCCAACATCTGGTCCCTTCCATCTCTGGGCTATGCTGCCATAGGAAAGACCCTGGGTCCTGTCTTAGGTTTTTTTGTTTGTTTGAGATAGGTTTTCTCTGTGTAGTCCAGGCTGTCCTGGAACTCACTGAGTCCAGGCTGGTCTCAGACTCACAGAGATCTCCCTGCCTCTGCCTCTCCCAAGAACTGGGACTAAAGGTGTGCGCCGCCATGCCTGGTCCTAGCTCAGCTTTTAGTTCTGTGAGTGTGGTCATGCCAGAGTGACTTTTCAGGGCTGTGGAGAGATTTTATAAGCTAATAGCCTTAAAAGCGCTCAGACAATGCCTGTGATTATATGATTATCTCGTGCTGTTTTGGCTTTAGCTTCTGGTTGCTTTGGGGGAAGGAAGACAGACTATAATACTTTTGTATGTGCTTGTGAATCTGTCTAGACAAACTTAACTACCGGGTGACTGCTGACCGTGACACCCTGTCACAGTCCTGGCAGGAAAAAGACAAAGGGCAGTTCCTGCTCCACCCATATGGAGGTGTTGGTGGTGGGGTGACATGACGCTGCACCTGCATCTCACCACTAGATGGCGCCACAGGCCTGCGTTGGACTTCCCTCTGATTTCAGGACAACCGTCATAAGTGGATCTTCTAGGTTTTTAAAAAAATTTTCTTTCCTTTTTTTGTATTATTTGTGTATGAGTATATGCCTGTATGTATGTCTGTGCATCATATGTATCTGTGATGCCCTCGGAGGCCAGAAGAGGGCATCGGATCCTCCTGGAACTGGAGTCACAGGCTATTGTGAGCCACCCTGTGGGTGCTGGGAACTGAACCCTGGTCCTCTGCAAGAACAGCCTGGGTTCCGCCGAGCCATCTCTCCAGCCCCCATATATATTTAATGCACTATCTATGTGGGAGTCGGGGAGGAGAAGCGCCTGGAAACTAGAAAGGGGCCATGAGAGGGGAAGGTTCCTTTATGTGGGAAATGACCCTATAATTAAATCTCAGTGAATGTTAAGTATGCTTTATATAAACCCCAACACGTCATGATTGGCTAGACTGGACCAACCATAGCCAGCCTCACGGTCCTCATGAGGCTGTTAGGAGCCGCTGTTCAAATTCACGTCTTAGTAGCAGATGGGGCGCTCCTGAAGGCGCTGTCCTGTTGCTGCTCACATTTTCACCCATTTTACTATTTCCAGTGGGTTTCGGGTCTGCTTGGCTCGTGACGCCCTTTTACCGTTCATTAATTCTTACTATATAAATTTAAATCCCCGTTACTTCTTGTTTGGGTTAAGGCTTCGCCCCAGCCCCTGGCATCCATATACCCAGAGAGTCTGGAATATTTGGGTGGAAGTTCCATCCCAAGCCCTCTCCTCTGGGAGTGGCCTCAGTCCAGACTCCACCCCCGAGAAAGCCCGCCAAACGGTGACCCCTCCCCAGAGATGCTCAAGACCACTCCCACAGTGTATTTAAACAGCAACCCAGAGACCAAACACATGGTTTTCCGGTCTTCCTTCCCAGCTCCTCTCTGGAGGGCTGGAAGGCCACCTGGGAGCATTGGCATCCATTAAACCTGGGCTTTTCTAATTTGGTGTGATTTGGATTATTGTCTCGGCAGAGAGGCTTATTGGGACATAAAAACTTTTCACTTTTCAAGAGTTCTTATTGTGTGAACTTAAATCTTCTAACAAAAAATTATAAGTAATGAAAAAAACCCAAGGAGGGTAAATGCCAGTGTGTGTGTTTCGGGGGGGGGGGGGGCACAGGCTGTATCCCTCACCATCCTTGGAGTGACACACCCGAATGTGTGCTTTGGAAACTGTAGGGTAAAAGGGACAACTGGAGCAGGACACCAACCAATCACTGAGCATCCTGACTCTGAACCCAGTCAGTAAAAGAAACACTCCTTGGATCTGAGACCTGGGCCGGGGGTGGGGGTGGGGGTGGGAATATCTTTATCCCTGAACCCAGGACTAAAGACACGTGCCCTGACTCTGAAACTAGTGTCAAAGAAACACATTTTGTCTCTAGACTCAGAGGCAGTGAAAGAAATATGCCCTGGTTTTAAGATTAGAGTCAAAAAGCTAAAAAGGACCAGTGAAAGAAACACAGATTGGCCATGAAGTCAGAGCCATCTCTGCCCCTGATCAACTAAACTAACCAACCCCTATTCTCCATGGGGAAAACTCCGCCCCTAAGAAGCCCTATATAAGCCTCACTGCCCATTCAGTTAGAAGCCACATTTATCCCTCCCTGGCAGAGGCAGCTACTCTCCTGGACTCCTCCTTCCTAAATTCCTTTTTCTCAAAAGAGTCTTGGGTGACAACCTTCAGACTAGAAGAACCTGGCTGGGACGCTCCCCTGGGGGGCCCTGAGCAAGGTGGAGCAGCACAGAAGAACCTTGCTAGGATGCTCCTTAAGGGGGGGCTGAGCAAGGCCGGGCAGAAAAAGGTAACTTTTTTCCCAGGAGCCAGCGGAGATTGCTACATTTCTGCAGATGCTTCCACTTTAGTGGAGAGTTAGCACAAGAAGAAACATCTTGGGCCAGAGAAAAGGCAGATAGCTCTGCTAGGATGTTGCATCCCGCTGGGAGACCATCCCCGACTGCACTCCAGCTTCAGGTAGCCTGATTTCCTGATAGCCAGGACACCTTTCCTCCAGGGCTGAGCTGTCCTATTGCTGCTCCAGCCTCCAGAGCTGTCCTATTGCTGCTCTAAGTATAGCCTGGCTTCCTGATAAGTCAGGACATCTCTGCAACACTACAACTGTAACCCATTCCCCTACATAAACCCCTAATGAAGGCAACTCACCTCTTCCTGCTTACTGTAAAAGATACCTGCAGTTAGAAATAAATGTTTCTAGGGGTTTCAGAGACAGCTTAGTGGGTAAGAGAGCTTGCTGCTCAAGCATGAGGATCCGAGTTCGGATCCCAGCACCCACGTGACAAACAACAGCGTCAACACACAAGCCTGTAAGCCCAGTCCTGTGGTCCCTGGGGCTTGCTGGCTGCCAGTCTAGCTCCAGGCTGAGCGATCCTGTCTCAGGAGAAGACTGAGTGGGACACGTATGTGCACCGGTTCACATGTGCAGGCAGACAGACACTACACACATTCAAAACTAAAAACAAACGTTTCCAATTCTCAGTCTAAATCTTTCTTGTGCAGGACACCAAAGGCATTCTCTAAAAAGAGGAACTTGTGGCCGAGACGGGAGACGGGAAGGGTTGCCCCTGAGAGTTCAAGGCCATCAGATGGAAAATATTTCAATCAAGCGCCACAGCCCCGGGGTCTCAAATTGCAAACAGTTTTCAGCTGTCTTCATAGCCTTCATTACCCAAATAAATATCCAGATTGTCTGTCATTGGCACAAGCCCCAGGATGTTTATTGCCTGGTTAGGCTGCGGAATAAAACGGGTATTGGATCATAAGAAAGTTAACAGCGCGAGAAGAATGATTGCCGAGAGGTGATAAGCAGCGCGCTAATTAGCGCAGGCGCAGAAAGGCAAGCGTGGTCTAGCAGCACGGTGGCGGTGGCGGATGGAGCGCGTTGAGAGCAAATCGTTAGGCACGCGCTTTCAGGAGACCCTTGCTAACACAAAATAATCAGAGCCATTCATTAACCTGCCGTGCAGCTTTGACTTTGCCCAAGGGTTCTGCTGGCAATAAAATAGTTCAGACACTAAAACAGGAGCCTGTGGAACTGGAGTCGGATTCAGATCCTGCTCATCTTTGAGTTCAGACAGGCTGTGACTAAATACCCGGGAAAACCAGCTTCGGGAAGGAGGGTTTACTTTGGCTCACACGTTAAGGGAGCCGTGGAAGAATGATGTTTACTGGTTTGCTCTTGCTCAGCCTTTCTTTCTCTTTTCCTTCCTTCCTGCCTTCCTTCCTTCCTTCCCTCCATCCCTCCCTTCCTTCTTCCCTTCCTTTTTTTTTTTTTTTGAAGCAGGTTTTCTATGCATAGTCCTGGCTATTCTAGAACTCACTCTGTCCATCAGGCTGGCCCTGAACTCACAGTGATCCACCTGCCTCTGCCTCCCTAGTGCTGGGAATAAAGGTGTGTGCCACCATGCCTGGCTCATTGGTTTTTCCAGACAGTGTTTCCCTGGGTAACAGTCCTAGCTGTCCTGGAACTAGCTCTTGTAGACTAGGCTGGCCTCAAACTCACAGGGATCCACCTGCCTCTGTGCTGAGATTAAAGGTGTGTGCCACCATGGCCTGGCCTCAGCCTGCTTTCTTTTAGAACCCAGGCCTACCAGCCTAGGGATAGCACGGGCACAGTGAACTGGACCCTCTCATGTTAATCATCAATAGTTTATGTATACAACCAATGTGGCCACACATTATTATTTCCGTCAGATTTTTTGTATGTATGAAGGTGTGTATGCAGGCATATGTATATAGGCTTGTATGCAGGCATATGTATGCTGGTGTGTATGCAGGTGTATGTATGCAGGCATGTGTTTGCAGGTGTACATGCAGGCATATGTATGCAAATGTGTATGCAGGCATATGTATGCAGGTGTATATGCAGACATATGTATGCAAGTGTTTATGCGGGTGTATGTATGCAGGTATGTTCATGTGTATGGGTATATATGCGCATGTAGAGGTCAGAGGTCAACCTCAGACGTTATTTTTGGGGAGTCACTGACCAGGGCTTCTTATTGGGGCCTGGGGCTTGCCTCTTTGACTAGACTGGCTGACTGAAGAGGCTGAAGGCCTCGTCGCTACCTCACCAGTGCCGGCATGAGTGTGTACCGCCATGCCTTGCTTATTTTAAGTATTTTTAATTAGAATATTTTAAGAATTTCATATATGAGTACTGTATTTACATAATTTCCGCCTCTCCCCTCCTTACCTCCATGATGTCCTAGATGCCCCTCTTCCAGCTCCTCCCATCTGTACCCCGGGCTCTCCTCTGACGGTGGGGACCCTGAGCTCTGGTGGACTTGTCTCCGGTCCTACCTGGTTTTTCATGCTCTCAATCTCCTTCTGCCTGGGGTCGTCGCCTTCGTCCAGGCCCTGGAACTTCGGCGTGCACCTGTCGCTCTGCCTGGCTGCGGCTGCAGCGGCTGTCTCGGATAGCCTTTGACTCAGGTCGGCCAACTCACCCCGCAGGTTCATTATCACCGCGTCTTTGTATTTGGACTGGATTTCAAAATCAGAGAGCCGGTTGACCTCTCTCCCCAGGAGCAGGATGATCTCATCCTGTGTGCGGACAAGAGGGAGGTTAGTAGGGGTGGCTGTGGGTGGTAAGCTGGGCCTGTTTCCACAAGCTGGAGGAACCATGGGTGTCACTCTGGGGAAGGTGGGGATGGGGGAAGGTAGGCAGAAGGGCAAGGAGGAATTTACAAACTCTGTGTCTCTTGGAAGGCCGCAGAGAGACTGGAGTTGGGTTAGAATCACACACCTGTACCTAGGTGCCTGTAATGAAGCCTCAGAGGCACAGAAACTTCCTTTACCCAGAAAAAAAAATGCTTTCACGTGGTAAACAGCAATCCTCCAGGGTTGTCAGAGGGCAGGAGGTTTCTTTATAAACACTCTATGTGGTTGCTTGTGAGACCCGCATCCAGGATGTTGGAGACCCAGCAAAGGAATTAGAACGGCATTCAGTCCCAGCACATTCTGACCACAACAAGGGTATTAATTTAATACTTTTTATGTATTGTGGAGGGGTCATTTTTTTTCTTTCCTCTCTCCTGGAATTCTCTATGTCCTCTGGAAGCCCCCATGAGAGTATACTCAGGGAACCGAGTCAAGAAACAATGCCGAGTGCCTGGTGGCTTCTGAAAACACTGGGATGAGGAGCGCTGCCGGCAGTTTCCCACGGAAGGAGCCAATGCGACATCATCTCCCTAGGAGAACCAAGTGACCAGAGGATTCTTCCTGTTTCCCCAAAGCAGGAGAGAGTACCCTGAGCCCCTCAGAATGTCAGACAGACCAGAAAACCAGAAGCCTAACTGCATACATGTCTGGGGATGGAAGATGTCACAGGCGTGAAGGAGCCTGCTGGCATTGTCAGCTGCTTCCACGTGTCTTTCTCTTGTTAACACTTATGTCGCAGCTTCTAACGGACTCTGCGGTCCCAGGCAACCCCTGCCTCATCCAAAGCGAGCCACTTGGGGCCTCCATGTTCAGCATAGAATATGCTTGGTCATTATTCATGGCACAAACATTTCTTGGGCGCCTACTGAGGAGAGCCTCATGTCCCTGTGACCCAGGCTGGTCAACCACGTTTTCTCAGAGCCCCTATGTACGAATTTTAAGATGGCAGCAAGGGTCTTGAATAGTGGACTTTAAGTACAGAGGCTTGAGCTTGGCCACAGTTATCCTGTCAAGCACAGGAAACCGGCCTGCTTGGAGCATGTCGGACGGCAAGGGGGACAAAGAGTAGAACAGGCGGGTATTCCAATGACGTCACTGAAGAGCCTAGATCCAGCTACGCCTGAAGCTTCTCAGCCTTTCAACTGTCCAATACGATTGCCTAATGAACATTTTTTACCTGGTTGTTGATTGTCCCTTGTCCTTGGAGGCGCCTTGGGAAATCAGGGCACAAATGGTGCGAAACAGCAAAAGTTACTCTGTTTTCATTTTATTCCCAGCTTAACTGTGGTGGGCTAGACATGGTGACTTTGTGGCTTTTGTCACCAAGTGGTGTTTCCTCTCCTGTCCACTGAGTCTCAGCCAGCTTGTGACTCCAGTGCACAGACGGAAAGTAACTAAGATACAGTGAATGAGCTCGGAGTAAGCGGAGTGGACAGACAGACGGATGGACGGATGGACAGACAGACGGAAGGTAGTGGAAGTGGTACAGAGGGAGGGAGTTCCAAGGTACAGCAGGGTCCGCCATGGCACATGGGGACCTGGGGGCTGCTGTGCCAGGGAGAGACTGCATGCAGAGAGCTTGCCATTTCCACCGTCTGTCTGAGGACCCAGACCTACGTATGGCTGCTACCGCCTGGGACCGCCAGCCCCGCGATTGTGCGTAAGTGCAGGACACTGGCAGAGGACCATTGTGCAAATCAACTCGTGGGAGACGGGGGAATGGTGGTGGCTTCTTTTTGCCACTGGATTTTGGGGTGGCTTGCTGCAGGGTGACAGACTAGTGACAGTGTCCTCAAGGTGGTTTCTCATCTTCCCACAGCACTTCACGGTCTGGCCTCAGGACACCAGTCTCAGAACTGCCTCCTGGCCCTAGCTACAGAACTCTCAGGTTGTGACCCAGAGTTGGAGGAACCCTGTGTTCCTGTTTCCCACACACAGGACCTCCCTGGGCTCTGACCCTGGTCTGTAAGGAAAGTGAGGCATTGGCCGGCTGTGTTGTTGCCTCTTCATTTGGAGGCAGGGTCTCACGTAGCCCAGGCTGGCCCTGAGCTTATTATACAGCTCAGGATGACCCTGAGCCTCTCATCCTCCTGGTGCTACCTCTGAGTGCTTGGGATTACAAGTGTGCCTTACCTGCTTGACTTATACAGTATTGGGGTCCGAAGCCAGGGGGACTTCCTGCATGCCTGGTGCCTGCGTGGTAGGCAAGCCTTCTACTGGCTGAGCCACGCCTTCTCAGGCTTCTATTTTGTTTTCAAGCTGTGGCTAGGTGGAGAGTGGTCAGTTTCTAAGCTCAACTATGCTGATTCCCTTAAGGGTTCAGCCTCTGACCTCACCTCTCCTCTTCTCTAAGGCATCACCTTGGCTCAGCTGTCCCCAACCTCGGTTCTCACTCCCTCCCACCAGTATGGGTGTATTTTTCCCACTGCTGAGCAATCTCTTTGGGTTGATTGGGTGTGTGAGAGAAGTGTGCCAGACCTGGATGCGAATCTAGTTCTACTCCTTGCGCTGTGCGCCTTTGGGCATGTCACTTTAACCTCTCTGGCTTGAAGTCTCCCCACCAGTAAATCTGTTCTGAAGCCTCCAAAGGCAGAAGGAGCTGATAGTGTCATTAGGGGCTCAGCCTGGCTCATAGCAGATGCTCAGTAAACTGTCTGTGGACGCGACTGTCCATTAGATAAGAAGTGGTTCCTTGGAGAAAGGACACAGAGAAGAAGAGGTGGCCTCTGGCTGCTAGAGCACCATGTCCCCCTCCCCCGCAAGGCCCCCTCACCTTGTCTTGCTGGTCTAGGTCCTGGTCCATGAAGATCTCGGTGGGAGGGATCGTCCCCGAGAGTCCCTCGACCACGCATTGCTCTGACAGTTCCATGGCGCTGGCCCACACTGTGTGACATCCACAGAGAACAAGGCATGGTGGGTTCCCAAGCTTGGAGGGGCCCCATGCGCTGAGCCGTCGTCATGGTTTCCCCTTGAAGGTCACATTACTTTTCATTCTCTGAGACGCTGCCCCAAACTCACCACACAGAGCAGGGTGGCTGGCTCCCAATTCTCCGTGGTCTTCTGGCCTCAGCCTTCTGAGTTATATGCATAAGCCATGCACCTTGCTCTGAGGTTTATATTTTCTCTGGCTTTGATTATTATTATTATTCAAACAGGGTCTCACTATATAGCTAGCCCTGACTATATAGTCCTGGGATACTCTCTGTAGATCAGGCTGGCCTCAAACTCACAGAGATCCTCCTGCCTCTGCCCCCAGAGTGCACTATCGCCATGCCCAGCCTTTATTATTATTATTTTAATTTGTGTATGCCTGTGTGTCCCTGTGCACATGTCTGTGGGAGGGTGCACGTGCCTCTGTACATACTAGGCAAACACCCTACTAACTACATCCCCAGCCTTCTCTATTTAAGTAATCATGTTTTTAAAATAGCATTTCATTCATTTATTTATTTTAAAGATTTATTTTTTTTTATTATGTATACAGTGTTCTGCCTGCATGTATGCCTGCACACCAGAAGAGGGAGCCAGATCTCATTACAGATAGCTAGAGCCCAACTGTGTTCACCAGGCTGACCTTGAACTCACAGAGATCTGCCTGCTTCTGTCTCCCAGTGCTGGGGTTAAAGGTGTGTGCCACCACTGCCAGCTCAAAACATTTTAAACACTTATGATTCGATTTGATGCACATGAATGTTTTGCCTGCATGTATGTCCATGCAGCCCATGAGTGTTGTGCCCGAGGAGGCCAGAAGAAGGTGTCAGATGGCCTGGAACTGGAGTTAGAAATGCTTGTGATGTGGGTGCTGGGAATCGAACTCAGGACCTTTGGAAGAGCAACCAGTGCTCTTAACCTCTGAGCCATCTCTGAGCCCCCCATTTCATTCATACATGTGGCTGTACCCCATGGCATGTGTAAGGAGGTCAGAGGTCAGCTTGGGGGTTCTGGGAATCAAACTCAGGTTGTTAGGCTTGGTGACAGCCCCTTTACCTACCCAGCCCTCTCTCCTGCCCACTATTGTGCTTTTTACAATGAGGTATAGTTCATTTTTAGAATCAGAGAAAAGCGAGAAGCAAGGGTGATCTATCTTCCTGGCTTTAAGCGCTTGCTGGAGGTCACCGCCAGAGCCTGGTACATACCTTGCTTGATGACAGGGGACTGGGGATCCATCATGAAGGAAAACATCTTCTCGTTGGCACTCATGGGCCGCTGGAAAGGGGCAGGCGGGACCATGGTGGGCCTGGGGCAACCCTGCGACCAACTTCTCTGCACTGTTGCTGGCCGGATGCCCTGGTGGAAGTGCATGTGGGGTGGCGAGGATGCCTGGTGTGGCTGCTGTGTGGCCTGAGGTGGCTGTGGCCTTGGCCAAGGTACTGGGCCCATCACCCATGGGCAGGAGACCTACAGGGCAGACAGGAGGCTCAGAGGGGGTGGCATTCAGGGACGTCACGGTTTGTCTTAGACCCAGTTTGGGGGTCACTCCCTTCAGGGAACCTTCTTGCATGCTCCTCAAGTTTGGGACAGTGACCTAGCCATGGGACACTAGAAAAACATCAGACACTGCCAAGAGATGCCCCATGTGTTTGTTCATTTAGCACATCCCTGACAATGATGCTGAGGCAAGATCGTGTAGCAAAGATGTGAGGATCCAGCTGCTGTTCAGGCCTCAACATCTGTGGGCCTCCTCCTCCTCCTCCTCCTCCTCCTCCTCCTCCTCCTCCTCCTCCTCCTCCTCCTCCTCCTCCCCCTCCTCCTCTTCCTCCTCTTCCTTCTCCTCCCAGACACTGACAGACACCTAACAGTGACCCAGGGGCCAGCATCTCTAACCTGAAATTGAGTTTACATCAAAGGGGGTTCTGGTGGCCATACTCCCTCCTTCCCACCCCTTCCCTGCCTCCTGCCTGGGAACCTGAGAGCCTGGCTGTGGGTGTGTGCTATGAAACCTTCCTGCCTTCAGGAAGTGTTTTGCCACGTGGGCCTCGATTCCTCCCTTCGGAGCCTCCACTAGGCTGTCAGTCTCTTGGCTCTGGGGGCCTGAACTCTGATTGTCCATGGTGTTTAGTAAACTATTCGAATACACTCCATACCTGCAATGATCCATCTCAGGGCCCTCTGGCACCGTCATCCAATACTTCTGCACGTGACTTCTCCCAAGCCAATGACATAGCACCTAACTGCTCTCTCTCTCTCTCTCTCTCTCTCTCTCTCTCTCTCTCTCTCTCTTTCTTTTTAAAGATTTATTTATTTATTTATTTATTTATTATGTATACAACATTCCTTCCATGTATGCATGCATGCCAGAAGAGGGCACCAGATCTTATTACAGATGGTTGTGAGCCACCATGTGGTTGCTGGGAATTGAACTCAGGACCTCTGGAAGAGCAGTCAGTGCTCTTAACCTCTGAGCCATCTCTCCAGCCCCAGCCCCGAGCTGCTGAACTGATGGTGTGTCACCCTGCAGGGACTAGGACTTCCCCTTTCTCGCACAACTACAATGGACACCAGGCATGGCATGCTGGGCGCAAACAGGGGCACGGAAGGAAGGGTGAGCAGGTCACTGAGAGTCAAGCCAGCTCCAGGGACTCCCAGCCGATTCTTCCATCCATGTTGTGGTCCCTCTATGGGTCCCAAGGCTGAGAACCTAGGGGTCAGTGTGGGAGACTGCCCCATCCACCTGCATCCTCAACCTTCCGAACACCTGTTCCCAGCAGGGGCTTCTTAGACACCTCGAATCCGGGACCCGAAGAAGGTGTCTGTGGCGGCTTCAGTGGAGGTGCAGGCAAGAGCCTTGCCCCAGGAGAGACTTCAGGATCTCTCCTCTCAGGAGAATCCAGAGTGGAACTGACGCAGAGCTTGTAATGAGGCGTCTCCCCCGTGCCTTGTCATTCAGTGATGACGGCAACAGGGCTGTGGTCTGCTGCACTGGGCTCCCCTATTCCCACAGCAGGCCTTGGATGCGTCGATGAGTCACCCAGGCTCAGGGAACACGAGATGGCTCACAGCCCCTCTCTCATCCCGCCTCCCCACCCATCTCTAGCTTTCACCTCTTTCCCTGTGTTCTCTCTCTCTCCTCCCCGTCTCTCTTTCCCCCTGTATGTGTGTGTGTATGTGTGTGTGTGTATGTATGCATGCGTGTGTGCGCCCATGTCTCTTGCCTCCCTCTGGGAATACCCATCACACCGTCCAAGCGCCAAGCTCTGCTGAGAGCTTTGTGGCCCCAGTATTTCCAAAGCTGTTATCGCTCTTTAAACAATGACCAATGAAGAGCGGGCAGCCACTTCCTGACTGGAGCTTGCTGAGCCCTCTTCTGTCATGACTCCATGACAGGAAGACTGTCCCCTGCTCAGGGGCCTGGCCTGGTGTGAAGCAGGTCGAGGACCCTCGGCATCCCAGAATACTCTTAGAGCCGGTGAGGAGAAAAGTATCCAGGGAAACTGAGTCACCTAGGAACGCTACTCCACTGACCCACTTTGAGTCTGCTGTCAGGAAGGGGACACTGCTGAGGTCTGCTCCTGGCTGGACTCTCTGACCTCAGGTTTTTTTTCTAGACTGTTCTAACTGAATAAGTGCTTACTGAACATGTGGGCTGAATACATCTCAGGCGAACCAACTGCCAGAGTACTGGGTGATGAGGAACATCACCTCCCAGACCACAGGCAGGACCCACTCGACATCTCTGGGCCCGGGTGTTTCTGGGCAATTCCCCCTGTGTATGGGAGGAACTACGTACCCAGCAGTCACGTCTCCTGACTTGACTAAAAGGATTAGTTCTAGGAGCATGGGCTCCAAGCAGGGCTGGGTAGACTAGGCTGGGCCCTAGGGTCTTCTGCTACAGTTAATTCTTCGGGCTTGAGAACATAGCAACCCCAAAGGAGGAGAGGAGAAGTGGGGCTCCTAAAGACTGTAAACAAACAACCCTCCAGAGGACAAAGACGGGTGTGATGGAGCATGCTTGTAACCCCAGAACTTGGGAGGTTGAGACAGGGGACGGGAAGAACATGAATTTGCGGGCTGCATGCACAGAGAGCTTGTCTCAGACTGCACCAAGTCTGCCCCATCCTAAGTGTTTCTAAGCACACACAGGAGTAGTGTTAAGCACAGCCTTCAAGCTGCTGGGGGCCGTGTCTTACAAACCCGAAGCTCTCTTCTCCCTCCTCAACTCCCTTTTCCTGCCTCTTTCTTTCTCTTTGAACCTGACTGCTCTGGGTACCTCGTAGAAGCTGAGCTCCTTCTCCCCTCAAATATGGGCTCATATAAATGCTGAAAAAGACTTAAAAAATATGTATGTCTGTGTATGTGAGTTCAGGTACCCATGGGCATTGGAGGCACTGGATCTCTGTAGAAGTAGTGACAGTTTTGGGCACTGATGGGTCCTGGGGACTTGGGTTCTCTGAGAGAACAGCCCATACTCTTAACTGCTGAGCCATCTCTCCAGCCCCACATGATTTGTTATATGATTGGCTTATTTCTCTTAGCACATTGCCCTCAAGAGCTAAAGCATTGTAGCAGGTGTCTGTGGTGAAGTCAGATGAGGCTGCTCTGTGTTCCATGTCGTCAGACCCCAGAAAGGTCCCTTCCACATTCACACGTTCTAAGCAGCTGGCGTGCACACACCCCATACTCACACATGTTCTAAGCATGTACACTGCTGAGGGCTTGCCTGTTCTCAGTCAACTTTTAATCTAGATGAGATCTGGGTGGCACCTCAGACAGGATGAGAGGTTTCATAGCCTTAGGATTATGCACACCTTAACTTCAGAGAGAGGGAGAGGGGGGGAGGGGGAAGAGAGAGAGAGAGAGAGAGAGAGAGAGAGAGAGAGAGAGAGAGAGAGAGAGAGAGAAAGATTGCCTTTGTGGCTACACAGGGGTCAGAAATGGATCTTAGGGTGTCTTCCTCAATCACTTCTCCATCTTCATTATTTTTTGAGACAGTGTTTCATACTGAACCTTGCTGTTTTGGTGATACAGATCACAGCCCACTGGGCAGTCGGTCTAGTTGGACCAGTGAGCTCCAGGTTCAGGGAATGACCCTGTCTAAGGTCGAGAGTGATGGAGGAAGATATTCAATGCCACCCTCCGGCCTCCACACACATGGGTGAGTGCACCTGCACACACATGCATAAACCTCATCCTCTCACACTCCCCCTCCCCCGCCCTGCAAGACAGTGATAGATAAAACATTAACAGTGCAGAGGCTAGGTGTCGTATCAGCAGCCACTGCGTCTTGAAGCACAGTATGGGGAAGCCGGCATCCGATTCAGCAGGGAAGTCTGTTAGGAGTCGGGGTCGTTGACGGACAGGGGAGGTCTCATCCCTGTCACATCTTACTTCACCCTTGTCTTACTCATAAGCATAAGCATGAATCCCACCAAGACTTAGGTTATAAACTCACTTATGCGTCAGCATGAGCTGGGGTAAGGGATGGCAACATTTGGTGAGACTCAGCGCCATCCGGAAGTCACAATAGTGAACATTGAAATGACTGCTATTGTAAAGGACACACTGTATCGTCTATCGGTAACTTCCGTGGTATCTCCAGAGCTACTAAATAAACACTGTCTGACAGACTGCTGGCTGAGCCCAGCACCTGGCACAGTGCCTGGCACTCACTGATGGTTTCTGCAGTCCACCTGGACCCACACATGGCCAAACAGAGTAGTGTAAGCAAAAAGGCTTTGGTTGATTCTACTGAGGTGTCCGCACAATAGCTAGATGAAGCTCCTATTCAGTAACCCACACTTGGGTGGAGCTGCCGAGGGCAGCTGTCAAGCAAGTGACCTCCACACCCACGAGGAAGTGGGGGTGGTGACCTTCATCACCTGCTGTAGCTGTAACCTGTTTTTACAGGAGTACTCACACGCCGAAACCACCCATCCCACCCTTGAAACACAAGTTCACCAGAGTGAAGTGTGGTTTTTAGAAAACAATGCTGGACTGGGTAGATGGCTCAGTGGGTAAAGGCGCTCACGGCCAAGCCGGATAACTGACAGCTTCCTTAGGACTGAGGCTGCGTGAGTTTTGAGTTCTCTTTCACTTGAATGGATGTTGTAATTTAGGATGTCACCTCAGACCCATTTCTGAGCTGGTCCAAAACAACTGGCGTGTGTCCATCACCTACTCAGACACGGACTTTAGAGTTTAAAGATGTACCCTCTCAATGTCAGGTGCCACGGAGAAGACCGTCGTAGGGGGAATCCGCGCTGGACCAGAAACAGCAGAGCTGAGCAGTCGGGAAGGCAAGCGCCGATCTCTGTGCTCTCAAACCCACCTAGCCGCTTCCAGCCTCTCCTGAACATCTCATATAATGCCAGGAAGTGCCCATTGCGGGGAGCTGACACGCCCTCTTCCCCCATCCCCCCACTAAGCCCCCTGTGAGGCACCCGAACTGGGCCTGGGCGGAGTCTTGTTGTCACGCCCTGTGGTGGTACCAGAGAACAGGACTGCACGCATGCGCCGGCATAGCACTCCACCTCCACCCTCCACCACGCAGCCGCTGGGCTCACCTGGGGCGGGTTCTCGATGACCAGCTCGTAGGTCAGTCCTGTAGAGCCAAACCGCAGGATGTCCCCAGGGATCAGCTTCACCGCCACGTTCTGAATGTGGCACTCGTTGACAAACGTGCCGTTGCGGGAGTTAAAGTCCTGAAGGACGAAGCTGCCCTCGTCCTCGTTGAATTCGATGAGCGCGTGGTGGTTGTCAATGTCTGAGGACTGAGACAGAGAAAAAGCAGTCAGGGCTGCAGATAGGAAAATCACAACATCCTTGATATTTGCTGCTCATGGGTTGCCAGAAGGTGGCGACACTGAGCGGTCTTGCTGGGTCCTCACCAGTCCTCATCTGTGTGTGTGTGAGTGTGTGTGAGTGTGTGTGTACGCGTGCGTACAATGTGTGTACACCTGTGCACATGTGTGTGGAAGCCGAGATCAACACTGGGTGGTCGTGTGCTGCAGCTTACACCAAGGTAAAACTGTTCATCTTGGAGGGAAGGTGACGTTAAAACAGATGAAACAACAGAAAGTTCATCTAAGGCAGCGGTTCTCACCCTTCCAGATGCTGCCCGCCTCTGAGACAGTTCCTCCAGGTGTGGTGACCTCCCACCATAAAATTGCTGGTTGCTACTTCAAGACTGTAATTTTGCTACTGTTGTGAATTGTAATGCAAATATCTGTGTTTTCTGGTGATCTTAGGCACCCCCTGGGAAAGGGTCGTTTAACCCTCCTCCCACACACATACACAAAGGGGTCGTGACCCACAGGTAGAGAACCACTGTTCTAAAGGGAGGGGAAACATCCCATCCTGCTGGGAAGCTCTTTTAAGCTAGGGAAGGAAGCAACTCAAAGGCATTATTCAGGAAATTCCAGAAACTACCAGAGGTCCCTCCCTCCCCAAGCTTATCTAAGCAGTGGACTTGCCAAGAGAGACAGACAGACAAGCTGAACTTCCCAGAAGAAGCATTGCTACCCAGAAAGGACACTCCAACCTGCTGAGCTACTGCAGGCTGTGCAGTGTGCTCCAGGTTCCCAGCTTTATGAGCCATCACCCACGCTGGCATGGGCTTTTGTGATATGGCTGTCTTTGAGTCATTTCTGCTCCTGCGAGTAACCCCCACCCATATGCCCATAAGTAACCCCAATAAAACTCATTGATCCACCTAGTTGGACTTTGGTGGTATCCGCACTTTGGTCTATCATTAGTTCCCTGTCTGAGGTGTATAGATATTTTTTTCAAGTCTCCCCAGAAATAGTGTCACGCAGCAGGCACCTTCACTGCTCCTTGCCTTAACTTTTGAGACAGTGTCTCTCACTGCATCGATGCTGTGGATGGACTGGCTGGCCAGCAAGCCCATGGCTCCTCCCACCCACTCACGCCAAGTCCTGGACTTTCAGAGACCTGACTTTTCGTCAGGAAGCTGAGAATCTAAGCTCAGGTCCTATCCTCATTTGTTTCTTGGTTGCTGAGGTAAATGCTGACCAAAAACAATTTGGGGGAAGGAAGGTTTATTCGGCTTACAGTTAAGGTTCAACACGGACAGACATCAGGGCAGGGACCTGGAGGCAGGAATGGAATTGGAAGCCATGGAGGAGTGCTGCAGAGTGGCCAGCATCCAGGCTTACGTCCAACCACCCTTGTTAACTACCCAGGCCTATCTGCCCAGGGACGATAACACCCAGAGAGGGCTGAACCCTCCCACGTCAACCAGCACCCAGGAACACGCCGCACAGACATGCCCACAGGCCAATCTGATGCAGGCCAGTCTTCAGTAGCGGTCCCTCCTTCCAAGTATGTGGGGCTGACAATCAGAATCAGTCAGAATGGCGTTCCAGGCTCATCGACATTTTAGATGTTACTACTGTTGGCTCAGTGGCAAATGGTATCACACACATATGATGGACTGTTAATCTGTGGGCTTATCCAGTGGGACTGAGTCACGCCATTCTGACTGATTCTGGCCTGAGCGCTGTGAGATAGTAAGTGTAGCACTGGAGACAGAAAGCTAACGTAGCGAGGGAAATGTTCTGTTCTAACAGCTGCCAGCGGCGGTCCCAATCACTTCCCATCAGTGCAATCTCATGACACCGTCAGCACAAAGGTCCCTATTGCACATGCTCAGAAGCTGTGGCTGAAGGAGAGACTACACAGCTTGTCTGCATCCTGTACCCTACTGGGCAGAGCGAGCTCACCCTCTTGCCACTAAAAACCAACCAGCCAGTTTCCCGTTCTTTCTGCCCGCTCAAGAGTCTCTCAAAGCAGCAGAGATGGCCAACTGCAAAGCCGTTTGTGGGGAGGCTCCATCTTCCAGGTACGTTCTGCACTGAATGCTTAGCCTTGCCTGCCCACGCTACCGAGGTTCTGTTTCTTGACTTGCTCTCTCTCTCGGGGTTTCTGCTGCTGTGGAGAGACGCCACGACCACGACACTCTCACGAAGGAAAAGCATTTAATTGGGGCGACTCACATTTTGAGAGGTTTAGTCCATTATCACCATGGTGCAACACGGTGGCATACAGGCAGACATGATGTTGGAGAAGCCAAGAGTCCTGTAGCTTGGCTTGCAGGCAAAAGGAAGTGGCCTGAGACACTGGGCGTGGTTTGAGCGTACCTGAGACTGCAAAGCCCACCTCTGTGGCACACTTCCTTCCACAAGAGCACACTACTCCAGCAAGGCCACACCTCCTATAGCGCACTAGATAGCCGAAGGGAATAGACTCCCTTTGGGGGCCATTGCCTTTCAACACAACACTCTTGCCAAACCATACTGCTGGTCACCGAATCCAGGACCTTGCACTGGCTGCTGGATGCCCTTTGCAGGCCGACTCTGGCAGGCTTGTGTTTAAAGAGGCAATTAGGCTTTGTTTACTCTGAGAACCTGCCCTTTGTACCCCAGGTAGGACTCAAGGGCTACCCTGGTACAGCCTCCAGATCCACTTAGGGAAACATGTTGTTACCCTAATTTCCCAGCAGAGGGCGCCGGCTCACCGCGTTGCCTCAAAAGAGAATCACGAGCTTGTCAGCTGGTTTACTGTTAGGCTCATTAAGGATTACTCGGCTTTAGGTGGGTGGCTGCTGCCTTAGTATCTCTGGGAGCCCACAGGATGTTTAGGTGTTCCTCAAGCCACATGGGGAAGCATGGAGTCAGTATCACTTCTGAAACCACTCCTGACTGGCTCTGTGGTTTTGGCTTTTCCAAGACCCATTTACGCACTTTGGTTTATAAGCAGATAATAACATCAATAGTGGTTTTTATCCCATAGGGTAGCATTGTGTGTGTGCATATTCGTATGTGACAGTGTGCATGTGTGTGTGTTCAAGCGTGTGCATTCATGTGTGCCAGTCTCTTTCCTTAGGTGCTGGTCACCATATTTTATGGCACAGGGTCTCTTGCTGGCCTGGAACTTGCCAGTATGGCTAGTCTGGCCAGCCAGGGAGCACCAGGCTTCCCCCTGAGTTACCCCTCTATGGAAGCAATCTCACAGACACACCTTCAAGAGATATGCTTCCCGAGGGATTCTTTTTTTTTTTTTAAAGATTTATTTATTTATTTATTTATTTATTTATTATGTATACAGTATTTTGTCTGCATGTATGCCTGCCGGCCAGAAGAGGACACCAGATCTCATTACAGATGGTTGTGAGCCACCATGTGGTTGCTGGGAATTGAACTCAGGACCTTTGGAAGAACAGCCAGTGTTCTTAACCACTGAGCCATCTCAACCACTGAGCCATCTCTCCAGCCCCTTCCGGAGGGATTCTAAAGGCTGCTACTGTAACAACAAGATCAGTTGTCACAGAACTAAGGGAGGTGGAAGAGAGGATGCTGCCAGAAGAGAAGAGGCTAGCCGGGATGTGGAAGAAAAGAGGCTGGCCGGGATGTGGTAAGAGGAGGAATCTGCTAGTTAGGAGCCTGCATTCAATAACCAAACTCACAAGCAAGTGCAAAGCCCATCAGCCGCTGGATAGGGACCTTTCTCCATTCAAAAAGAACTGAAGGCCTTTCCCAGCAGAGCTCAAATTACAATCGTGTTCACCAGGCGCAGAGATGTGCACCTGCCATCAAAGCTACACGTGTGACAGAGGCAGGAGGATCGCTTGAGTCCAGGAGTTTAAGACCAGTCTGGGCAACATAGTGAGACTCGTCTCATAAACAAAGAAAGGGGCTGGGGAGGTGGCTCAGTTGGTACTCCACTTACCATGCAAGCCTGAGAACTTGGCTTTTGATTCCCATCGTGAATGACAGGCATGGCAGGGGCAGCTGGAACCCTAGCCATGGGGGTATATAGGAAGGTAAAGACCAGGTGGATCCCAGGAACCCAGACTTTGAGCTCCAGGGTCAGTGAGATGCTGTCTCAAAATTTAAGTTGGGTCTAAGAGATGGCTCAGTGGTGAAGGGGTTTGAAGAGCTCTGAAATCTCTTAGCTGTGCTCAGGGAGCTCACAACCTGCTGTAACTCGGCTCAGGGGGCTCCCACACCATCATCTGGCCTCTGCAGACAGCCACACAGGCACACACGCATGCACACACACATGTGCACACACACACAGAGGCAGAGAGAAACAGAGAGGAGAGAGAGAGAGAGTCAGTAACCATCTCCAATATTAAAACGTACAAATTACACTTCAGGGTTTAGCACTGAGCTGAGCTGGGTTAAGTCAGGGAGTGGAGTCTAATCACATTGTAGCCAGAGTGCCCATTTTGAAATTCAGTCCCCTCCCTTGCCGGGAGTCCTTCAGTTCCTTTTTCCCCTTGCTCTCCCAGACTGGACCAGAACCTTAGTAACCACCCTAGGATCTCTCCCCTCAACCCCTGCCTCTCAACCCCCTTCCCAGTCTTCCTTATGGGCCCCACTGCTTTTCTTCTGGGACTCTGGGCTCACCACGTGTCCTCGCACTTCAGGGCCTTTGCACGCGGAATTTCCTTGCTCCCTTGGGTAGCTGAGTCCTCCCTGACCTTTGCTGATCTTTCCCTGATGCTGACATGTGACGGTCAGCTGGTCTGTGGGCACGCACGGCCTGTATGTGTCTGCTTCCTGATTGCAAGACCGTGGGGCTCTGCCCTAGGTGCTTTTGTGCCAGGTAAATATTTGTGAAATGAACGTGTGCTGAGAACAGTGGAGACCAGGCTGGCTAAGGTGGGCTTCCTGCTGCCATGAGGAAGCCAAAACCTGCACAGGGGACAGAGAAAAGTCTGGAAGGAAACCCTGGAGATGAGCCTTGGCTATACCTAAGTTCCATGATCATGTTTGACTTTTCCCCTTGTACTTAATTGGTTTATTTAGTTTCATTTTTGAGACAGTCTCACTATGTAGCCTTTCTTTGGGCTGGGACTTGCTAAGTAGACCAGGCTGGCCTTGAACTCCATAGAAATCTAGCTACCTCTGCTTCCCAAGTGCTGGGTATAAAGGCCCCTGCCGTCATGCCTGGCTACTTTCTATGATTTTAAGTGCTCGACTCCCTTTCATCTTCAGAAAATTTAATGTCAAAATACAATGACATCTATGCCCCGTATGAGGTTGGGTTTACCAATTGAAAGAAATCTTGGCGAACAGGTTCCCCATCTTTTAGAATTAACCTAGGGAAATAAAACTATTTATTGTAAGTTTTTTTAAAAATTACATTTATTTATTAATTTGGGGGTGTGCCCGTGCCATAGCACACATGTGGAGGTCAGAGGACAACTCATAGGGGCTGGTGTTTTCCTTCTACCATGTGACGCTCAGGATTAAACACAGGTGATCAGACTTGGCAGCAAGCCCCTTTGCCCACTGAGCCTCACCAGCTCAACTTTATTCAGTGGAGTGAATTTTTAAATTTGTATTTTTACACGTGTGCGTGCGTGTGGTGGTGTGTCTAGGTACCAAACACACATTGCTAGGTGACCCTGCCATCACATTCCCAGGCATTTATGCCCTCTCAAAAACTGCATACAGCACTGTGCTGGCTGGATGTCTTGAAAACTTGGTGCAATCTGGAATCATCTTCGAAGAGAAGCCTCAATTAGGAAAATGCCTCCCTCAGATCGACCTTTGGACAAGACTGTGGGATTCTCTTGATTCATCGTTGGTGTAGGAGGGGTCAGCCACATCACGTGGGCAGGTGGTCCAAGGGTTGTTTAAGAAGGCAAGCCAGTAATGGTGTTCCTCTGTCACCTCTGCTTCAGTCCCTGCCTTGAATTCTTGAATTGAGGTCCCTCAATGCTGAGTGGCGATCAGAACACGTAAGCCAAACAAACCCTCTCCTCAATTATGCTTTTGGTCATGGTGTTTAATCACAGCACTAGACAGCAACTGGAAACGAGAGGCTGTCTGCAATGGTCCTGAACTAGCGATAACCACCGTGTCTTGTACACAGATGGATAATGAACAGCTGTGTGTCCACTCCACCGAATACTACCCAGCAATAAAAAGGAACAAGCTAGCAATCTAAATACATCCCCAGGCCTGAGTAAAAGGGAAAACAAACCAAACCAAACCCCTAGCGCAAGAGGTCACACACTGTATGATGTTACTGATACAACTTTCTCCAAACAACAGACTTATCAATACGAAGAAGAGAGTCCTGGTTTCAGGGTTCAGGGGTGGTGGGAGGGGCTGCTGTAACTCTGAAGTGGGGGTCCAGGTCTATGATGGCACAGATGTTTTGCATCTAGGCTACTGCGTATGAATCCGCACCTGTGATATAACCATGACCACCTGCTCTCCACGGGCCACCCTCCCCCACACATACAGAACCGTGGTCCCTGCCCTGGCCTGTTTTGATGCTGATATAAGTCACACAAGTGCAATCACTGAGGAAACAGAGAGAAGTGCGTGCTCAAGTTCCCTCTACTGTGTTTGGAACCTTCTGTGAATCTTTAGCTGTTTCAAAGAAAGGTTATTAAGGATGCGTGGGGCGAGGTTGTGGGCAGGGCACCTGCTCTCCTGCTGGAGGAGGCTCCGCCTCCTGCCTCTCTGCCCTTCCATACATATTTTAAGCTGCTTAAATATTCAAAGAGACTCCGAGCCTTTGTTTTTATTAGTCATTTCTTCCACTTCCTTAGCTGTCGGTGAATGGAGGCTCTGGACCAAACCACAGCTCATCAGAGAACAGAGTGAGATCAGAGGAGACTGTGGCTAAGCCCAAGGCTTCACCTCAGAGCTTTCTGGACTCCAGGGTCCCCTCACAGGCAGGCTATGGAAAGGGAAAGGTCTGGAAAAAGAGAGGCCTCCCCTGACACAGGGAGGGCAGTTCAATGCACCTGCTCTGTGAACACCTTCCAAACTCACCCAGAATCAGAAGACTGCTTCTGGGCAGGGGACAACTTGGGACGTAGGAAGATGTGTTCAGCAACAGGTAGAAGGCCCATCACCTCCAGGTGACACACAGCTCCCCTTCTCCACCCAGAAGATTCCTACACACGATAGTGGATCTTTGGCGGCACAAGAACTGAGAACCGAGGTGGCTGCTTGCCTGACGTAGCCGGTAGGACTTTGAGAGCCTTGCATCTGGCCCACACTAAGGAGCACTGGGGTTAGCAAGGGGCAGGGGTGGGCTGTGTTCTTACCTTTAGGACGAGGTCCGAATCCGCATGCTTGCCAATTGTGGTGCTTTTGTTTAGGACAAAAAAGCCATCTGCGCTCTTCAAATAGGCTTTCATTCTCTCTGATTTCCCTGCGGAGTGGTTCAGAAAGACTTTGGTTAGAGAGACACATTCTAAATCAGACTGGGCTGGATGCGATCTCCACTGGGTCCTGAAGGGGAGATCTGTAGAGACAGGAAGTGGCCAGGTGGTGACAAGGTCACGCCTTCTGAAGGTCATCTCGCCTAATAGTGATCACCAACAGAGAAGAACTGAAATCTGATAATCACACTCAAGGTATTTTAGAAATATATTTATTTCTATTATGTCAGTGTGTGTGCTTTAGTGTGTGTGTGCTCACCAAGTGCATGCAGAAACATACAGAGGTCAGAAGAGGGTACCAGATCCCCTGGGATTGGAGTTACAAGTGGTTGTGAAGGGGGGTTGTGCTGGAGAGATGGCTCAGAAGTTAAGAGCTCTGTCTACTCTTTCAGAGGCCCTGAGTTTGATTCCCAGCAACCACATGGGGCTCACAGCCATCTGTAATGGGATATGGTGCCCTCTTCTGGCACAAAGACATACATGCAGATAGAGCCCTCATATGCAAAAACTAAATAAACAAATATAAAATGCCCCCAAAACCGAAAATCAAGTGGTTGTGATCTGCCATGTGGGTGCTGGGAACTGGACCTGGGTTCTCTGGAAGAGCAGTAAGAACCCTTAACTACTGAGTCCTCTCTTCATCCCCCTGATGATATTTCTTAACCGGGGGAAGCAAAACCAAAGCTCTAAATAACCCAAGCACACCCTGAATGACCGGATGATGAATGCCCACCTAGTTATCCATGACCCCCAAAGCTCATGCAGATTAGTTACAGCCCAGCACTTACTAGTACAGAGAATGTGGGTGAGTTAGTCTCTCCTCTGCTGCCTGGTTCACAGCAAACTCTGCTACCATTGATGCTAACCTGGGCTTCTCAAATTCCAGTTCAGAGACCCACGCGCTCCCTCTGAGTTTAAAGCTCCAAGAGCTGGCCCCTGAAACCCCAGGCACCAACTGATACTTTCTCCGTAAATCACCGAATTTCTCCATAGATTGAATTAGGAAAGAGTGATTTCTTTTTTAATTTTAAAACTCTGTGTGTGTGTGTGTGGGGGGGGGCTGGAGAGATGGCTCAGCGGTTAAGAGCATTGCCTGCTCTTCCAAAGGTCCTGAGTTCAATTCCCAGCAACCACATGGTGGCTCACAACCATCTGTAATGAGGTCTGGTGCCCTCTTCTGGCCTTCAGGCAAACAGACAGAATATTGTATATTTAATAAATATTAAAAAAAAACAAAAACAAAAACTCTCTCTGTGTCGCTGTCCTTGTCTCTCTCTCTCTCTCTCTCTCTCTCTCTCTCTCTCTCTCTCTTCATATTTGTGCAGGTGTCCATAAACCTCAGTAAATATATTTAAATCATAGGACAACTTGCAGGAGTCAGTCAGTTCCCTCCTTCTTCTGTGGGCCGGTGATGGGAATCAAACTCAGATCCTCAGGCTTGCTCGGCAAGTACTTTTACTGGCTGAGGCACCTCACCAGCCCAAGGACTGATTTCTAGGGATGATGTAGGAAGATGAAAGAGTCTATGAGATCAGAACTCTGCACAGATTTCCCCCAACATTGTATTATGGGAATGCCAACTACACAGAGAGCTTTAAAGACAGGGAACTGGGTGTGGTGGTGCATGCCTGGAACCCAGCACTGTGGAAGTTCAGGCAGGAGGATTGCGAGCTTGAGGGTGGGCTAGAGTACATAGGAAGAAAATCAAATGGAGGCAGAAAGATGGGTCAGAGGCTGAAAGCACTGACTTCTTGGGTTCGCAAAGGACACAGGTTTGATTGTCCCAGCATCCACATGGTGGCTCATGACCACCCATAATCCCAGTTCCAGGGGATCTGATGTCCTCTTCAGACCTTCGTGGGCACCGAGTGGACACAGTGCATGAACATACAGGCAAAACCCCAGAAAGAAAAGAGAGTAGAGATTGAATTCCTATGAGCTCACCACCCAGATTCTGTAACCAATAGTTTCCTGTTATTGTTATTATCGTTGTTAGGTTTTGGGTTTTGAGACAGGTTCTCCAGTAGCCCAGGCTGATCTGAAAACTCACTGTATAGCTGACAATGACTTTGAACTCATTTTTTCCACCTTTCCCTCCCAGGCTCTAGGATTCCGGGTGTGTACCACCATGCCCAGCTGGCTGTGTTTTCTTTCCCACCTACCCACCATCCATTTGTATCTCTGTCTCACAATGCACTCTAAAGTAAGTTCTGCACAGTTTAAAAACACTGTGTATTACTCAAATATTGATGTGGATGCACCTTTCAGTTTGAATCTTGGGACCCTTTGCCATCCTGACAGTGTTGGTCCCTACTCCATCTCCAGTGCCCAGAGCTGCCATGCCAGGCAGAGACAGGTGTTCAGTAAAGACTTACTGAGCGAGAGGACAAAACGACACCTCAAAGGAAGGTCAACCTCTAGCTGTGGAGGGTACCACCTGCCTTTCATCCCCCCTTTCTCTATTAATCCTAGACGGAATTGTGGAAGCTCAGACTTCTTCCGCTGCCTTGCTAGGCGGCGTTTCTACACCTTAGTCTCATCCTGTGCGGTCCCTTGCCTGCCTGAAAATACTGTAGTCATTTGAACGTGCTAAGTTGTGGATTGGCTCTCTCTTCATGCCCCACCAAGAGCCAAACGGCTTCCATCATACGTGGGTCAGAGATGGGTTAGAAATGGGCTACGGATTGAACATTCTGGGAGGGCTACTTAGCCTGGGCGCCAGCTGTGTACTTCCTCTGCGTTACAGCCAGGCACGTGAGGCCAGGCAAGGGGACCTCTCTGATGGTTGGTGGATGACCTCCAAGGCAGAGTGTTCCCCTCCTAATCCGGGCTGCACCGGGTGGATGTCCTAGAGACCTAAGGTCCCATCACGATGCCTCTGGGGACAGGGTGTGACTGCACTTAGAGAGGAGGGGTTGGTGCTTGGGCAGCTGTCCTGAAACAGGAGCCTGGATTGGAGAGCTTGGGGCGGGGACACGCCTCTTCCCATCACCACTGCTCTTTGCCAGTCGTCCCTGGAATGGCACTCACCTGGCAGGAGGAGGAAGCTAGCGTTCTGTCCTCCTCCGAGAGCCCCACGGGCTGGGAGCCGCTTGACAGCTCCAGGGCAAGGCGGCCTGCCGCGCTCTGCTGAGTCTCCAGCTTGGCCCGCACCCCGCGCTCCTGCTCGGCCTGTGTACGCGCGTAGCCATGGCAACGCGGTGGGCTGGGTCAGCAGGTGAGGGGCGTGGCCTTTGCGGGGGCGTGGCCGCGCTCTGAGCACCCGTGTTCGTTCTCTCTCTCTCTCTCTCTCTCTCTCTCTCTCTCTCTCTCTCTCTCTCTCTCTCTCTCTCTCTCTCTNTCTCTCTCTCTCTCTCTCTCTCTCTCTCTCTCTCTCTCTCTCTCTCTCTCTCTCTCTCTCTCTCTCTCTCTCTCTCTCTCTCTCTCTCTCTCTCTCCTCCTCTATCTCCTCTCTGCGCGCGCGCGCTCAGGGTGAGGATCAGGTATGGACTATGTTTCCAGGCAGTCCGAGAACACCTCATTTTACAAATGGAGAAACTGAGGCTCGGAGACCCCACAAACTTTTATAAAACAGTGATCGAGCTCAGAGGGTTCGATTTGCTTCTCTCTGTCGAGGTGGTGGGGTGGTGACACGTGGGTTGGGAGGTTGGAGAACCTTGGGGGTTAGCGCCCAGTCTCACTCAGACACATCCCTTCTGGGGTGACTGAGGATGGTGTTAACCAGACAGAACCAGGATTCTTTCTTTGTGCTAGGGACGGGCTGTTTCCGACCTCACAGCCCTCCCATCCTCAGCCCTTCATCCCTGTGAGAGAGACACTTAGTCTGTCTCTGTATGCATTGTCTGGAGCCCTAGACACGCTAGCCTAGCCTGTATAGCGCCAATAGCCAAACCTGACAGGCTTGTTCAGTGAGCACGGGGCCAGCAATGTCTTGGGATGACTGGCTTCTATGTGCATAGGTGAGCAAACACCACCCATAAAGACCTTTTCATACTACTGGACTCAGTGAAACCCAGGAGCACTGTGGGGGGGGGGGCGGGGGGACTGCCCAGGGTCAACCTTCTGCAGCGTGTGTGGCTGCCAGCCCATTCCCATAAGGGATTCTAAGCTCCCAGTGAACAGATTTTCAGAGTCCCTGGAATAAACAGAAAGCACCCAAGCCTGATCAATCTTCCATCCTGATTCCAGGCAGTCCACGTTCGCTTGGGAAGCAACAAAAACCATTCTAATTGCATAGGGCTTTATACTAGTGCTTCCTGAGTGGAGTGAGGCCCCTCTTAAGCAATGGGCAGGGTCTTAATTAGGGTTTCTATTGCGGTAACAACACACCATAACTAAAAAGGAAGTTGAAGAGGGGAGGGTTTATTCAGCTTACACTTCCACATCACTATTCATCAGCAGAGGAAGTCAGGACAGGAACTCAGAGAGGGCAGGGACCTGGAGGCAGGAGCTGATGCAGAGGCCGTGGGGGAGTACTGCTTACTGGCTTGTTCTTCATGGCTTGCTCAGCCTGCTTTCTTACAGAACTTAGGACCACCAGCCCAGGGGCTGGCTCCACCCACAATGGGCTGGGCCCTCCCCACATTGATCACTAGTAAAGAAGATGCCCTACAACTGGACCTTATGGGGGCATTTTCTCAACTGAGGTTCTTTCCTCTGTCATGACTCCAGTTTGTGTGTCAAGTTGCATTGAGACTAGCCAGCACATCGGGGTGTTGAAAACACTGCCTTTGAAGAGGATACTCAAGACTCTGGTGCCTGTAACCAAACGGCTGAGTTCTGGGTGGCTTGGGGGTGGATGCGGGGGGGACACAGAAACACTCAGGGGAGTGACTGCGGCAGCGAGACACTGGAAATGCCAATGAGACTGCTACTTCCTGTGAAATCACTGCCCTTCTGACAGAGGTATGAAGCCTGGAGACACGGAAGGGGCCCGCGGCCACACCCACTAGGCAGCCGAGCAGGATCTGTGGCTAGACTGATCGTTTATGATGGCCGGACAGAGTTTTCTGCGCAGTAGGAGTTACATTCGCATCTTGATCCTTACTGGACTAGAGACTTTGTATGGAATGTGATTCCCTCTCTTGTGCTTGGGCGGCAGCCCTGGGCTACAGCTGCCTGTCAGACACTCCCAGAGGGAAGTAGCCTGTTCTGTGCAACCGGGCTGTACTGCCTACCTAGTGCTCAGCAGGTTTAGTGCATCCAAAGGCATTTTCAGTTTACAATATTCTCCCCCCTCCTTTTGGCATGTATGTTCACGTATGTGCAAATGTTTCTGTGGATGAGCATGCAGGCATGTCTGTCTGTCTGTCTGTGTACATGCGGAAGCAGGAAGACAACCGTGACTGTCATTTCTCAAGGTCTGTACTCTTTTTTTTTTGTTTAGACTGGTAGTTTGAATGTAATTGATCCCAATAAGCTCATAGCATTAATAGGAGGTGTGGCTTTGTTGGAGTAGGTGTGTTCTTGTTGGAGGAAGTGTATCGCTATGGAGGAGGGCTTTGCTCAAGCTACTGCCCAGATACTCAGACCACTTCCTCTTGCCTGCAAGTTGTAGGACTCTCGCCTACTTCTCCAGCACCACGTCTGCCTGCATCCTGCATGTCCCACCATGATGATAATGGACCGAACCTCTGGACTGTAAATGAGCCACCCCAATTAAATGTTTTTCTTTACAAGAGTTGTGGTGATCATGGTGTATCTTCACAGCAATGGAACCCCTAACTAAGACACAAGGTCTCTCAGTGTCCTGAAGTTCAGCAGTAACCTAGGCTAACTAGACAGTGAGGCCCCGGGGCCCATCTATCTACATTTCTCCAGTATCGGTATCGCACGCACACGTTACCATGCTTACGAACCGAGATTACAAGACCATGACCCTGCACTTGCTCAGCACGTTACAGAACTAGCTTCTGAGTTGTACGTTTTCAATTTATGACAACGATATTGGGCCATAACCTGTTTGTAAAGCAAGGAGTATCTGTAGATGAATGTAACCAGGGAGGTGTCCACTCTTAGGCACCATGACTGGCAGCTGTCACAACTGAAAGAATGACACCTGCTTGCTACCTACTTCCCTGCCTTCTGAGCAAATTGAGTTCCTGTCCGTCTCAAAGATCCAGGCGGAGACAAGGTGCAAGGAAATGGATCACAAGCCAAAGGGGGCCATCTCAGGTTTGTCCCCCATCCCAGCCGCTGTATTCTGGGAGTCCAGCTTTTCTCCTGCAACTTCAGCTCCCACAGAAATCTCATTTCTCCTGCTGCCTTCCCCTGACTGCCTTTATCCCCTCTCTGGAGACCTCCAGATGTTTCTACTTCTGCTCTTGTGTTCCAGAAGGAGGTGAATGCTGGCTTCAGCTCCAGTGAGGAGAGGCAGGAGGCTCTATGGTTGGTTCAAAGGAAGTTACTGGTCCAGTAGCCCAGTCTAGAAGCCCCTGGCAGACCTGTGATGTAATCAATACTAACTGTCACATTTGGGCTCCGACGGGTAGTAGATCCTAAACCTGACCCCGAATCAGGATCACCAGATCCCTAGGCCACCGTGCTGACGGGCAGATTGTGTGGCACTCGATGACAAACCACGCCAATGTCTTTCTGCTTGCACAACTTCTGGGTACGCAGAGCAACATCTAGAGTGTGCTGCCCCCATGATCCTTTTTTCACATGCGTGAGTGAGGTTAGGTAGGAGTGGACCAAGACGAGGACCCCCGAGAGGGTGGAGCCACTGAGATGGGGAGGCGAATGATGCCCCAAGCTGGGGTGCACACCTCTGGAGAGCCCAGAGCTTTTGTTGTTTGTAATAACAGCTCTACTATTTTCAAGTATTTTAATTTTTTGTGGGGAGGGCAGTGGTGTGTGCGCCATAGCACACGGGTGTGGAGATCAGAGGGCAATCCAAGGGCGTCGGGTTCTCTTCTCCCACCACATGGGACCCTGGGATTGAACTCGGCTCACCAGGCTTGACATCAGGCACCCTTAGCAACTGAGCCGTTGCCTCAGCAGAGGCTGGAACTTTTACAGGTTCCTTCTCTGCCGTAACAACTGGCGATGGTCAGCTTTAGCTGCTGTGTTCCTCACAGAAACTGTGGGGCCCAGGAAAGGAGGCGTGGGAACTGCATGCCCAGGGAGATTAAGATGTGAGAACAGATAGCTTACTCAAGGGTGACTCATCCAAGCCACCTGACTCCCTGGCCACTTGGACCCACAGTGGCTCTCTGAGGCACGTCTCACGGAGGCGCTCTTGTCTCTGTTAGTTGTACAGAAAATTCTAGAAGGCTTTGGTGAATGGGGGTCTCCATCAGTGGCCGAGTTCCACCGTGTTGAGAAAGCTTCCTCCAGTCATTGGCATGAGATGACCTCATCTGTCACTGGATTTGTGGCATTTTACAGGGTGTTCTCAGAAGGCCTGAGTCATCTCAGAGGTGATTTGGGGGCGCAAAGTGGCTGTTTCAGGTCATTCCTGGCTCTAACTTTTCCTTTCCTTCCCAAGCAGGTTGGCTTGGGCCTCTCTGGTCATTTCTTTCTCCTCGGGTTTCCTCTGAATCATTCCATTGGACTGATGACATCCGGCCTCGTCCCCACACTCTGCATAGACTCTCTCTCTGGGAACAATTGCTCTTTTCTTTCCGAGCTCTGGTCCACCCTCGTCTGTTACCCCGTCTCTCCTGGGAACGGATTGTCGTTCAGAAACTTAAGCCTCCTAGATTGTCCCCTCTAACCCAGGTCTGAATTTAGACCAGTCAAGAGCTGAGAGACAGGAATGTTCCCGAGTCACTGGGATCCAGTAGAGGCACCGATTGCTCTGTGAGGCTCAGAAGAAACTGAGGTAGAGAAGGGGAGCTTGTTCTTAAGTGACCCCATCACTCGTGTGTTGAAGGCTTTGTCTCCAGTTTATGCTGCTCCTGAGATGTAGTGGGAACTTTAGGAGTGGAAGAGGTGGGCCACTGAGAGAGCGCTCTTGGAAGGGAATGTCTTCTTTTCTCCTTCCCTCTTTCCCTCTCTCTCTCCTTCTCCTTCCCAGGCACCATAAGCTGTGCAAACTGGCTTCACCACACACTCCCAGACCAGACACTCTGCCGCATAAAACATGGGGCTAAGCAACTGTGGACGGACACCTGTAAGACAGGAAGGCCCAAACAGACCTTCCCTTCTGTGTCAGCTAGTCACTCAGGTGTTTTCCAGCAGTGAGGGAAAGCCGAGCCGAGGGGACAAAGGGTGGGAGCCAGGCTGAGTGTGGCAGGGTGGCTAGACAGGTTAGGCAGCCTTGGTCAGCTCTCATTTGCTGATGTCCATATTGATCTAAAAACCTTCTGCAGCTCCATGGAACCCAACGTCAGCGTGAACTGGGCCAGCTTGAGAGCAGACTCATTGTGCGCCGTGAACGGATGTCAGCAGGTCTGTGCTGGCTGGTCTTCTGTCACTGGACACACAAGCTAGAGTCATCTGAAAGGAGGGAGCCTCGACCGAGAACATGGCTCCATAAGACCCGGCTGTAAGGCATTTTCTTAACTAGTGATTGATGGAGGGCCCAGTCCATTGTGCGGGGTACCATCCCTGGGCTGGTGATCCTGGGTTCTATAAAAAGCAGGATGAACATGCCAGGACACAGCACCCCCCCCCTTCCATGGCCTCTGCATCCACTCCTGCCTCCAGGTTCCTCCCCTGACTTCCCTCAGTGAAGAAGAGCAATATGGAAGTGTAAGCCTTTGAATAAACCCTTTCCTCCCTAGCTTGCTTTTCGGTCAGGTGTTTCATCACAGCAATAGAAACCGTAACTAAAGACAAGGTCCTTTGCTCCTTAACTCTCCGCAAGCTGCTGCCCCAGATGGAGTCTCTGAAGAGTTAGTCACAACAGGGCAGCTCCAGCTCCAGCCCTTCCACCCCTCAGCCTTGGCTCCCAAAGGGAAGAGTGAGATCTCCCTGTCAACTGCTCCTCAGCTTCTCTGGCTGGGTCACATGCCATCCATAGAACTAGGGATGGAATCTCGTCTGTCACAAGGAGGCTGAGGGTCTGGGCTGAGACTGGGAAGAACATGAGGACAGCCTCACAGCCACAGTCGGCTGCTGTGTCCCCCAAACCTCTTTATTTCTCAGCAGTACTCTCGCCCCACCTTTTAGAGAAAGAGCCTCACCATGTAGCCCAGGCTGGCCTCAAGCTCCTGACACTTCTTTCTGTGTGTCCTGAGGGCTTTAGACTGTCCACCTGCCTCTCCCTTTGATTTGTTAGAGTTCCTGGGACTTGGTCCTTGCTGTGGTTTGAATGAGGAATGTACTCCACAGATTTGTGTATCTGAACACTTGGTCCCTTGCTAGTGGTGCTGTGTGGGGAGGTTATGGAACCCTTAGGAGGTGGAGCCTCGTTGGAGGAAGTACATCACTGGGGGTGGGCCTTGAAGTTGTATAGCCTGGCCTCCCTTATTCGTCTCTTCCTCCACTTCCTGACTCCCAGGCTGGCCCCCTGCTCCTCCCGCCAGGACAGCGTGATGGGCTGTATGGTGAACCCTTTCTCTCCATAGTTGGCTTTTGTCGGGGTATTCCATCTATCACAACAGAAAAGGAACAATACAGCCTGTAGACGCCTCCCGCCTGGGTGTGGCTGCGCTGGGGAGCTTCGGTGCTTGCTCCTGCTTGGCACAGTTCTCAGATACAGAAGCCTACTTAGACTCTGCCCTTTATTGTTACCAGTTCTTTCCAGCCAAGCTGTGTGATTTGACACCCCGCGCTGAGCACAGAGGTACCTGGTTCACGTAGCTGTAGCTGGTGTAGCTGGTGTAGGAGACAGGGGTCCAGCGTCCATCTCCTACATATGGGTATTATACCTTCAGCTTTGTTCTTTTTAAAAATACATCAGCAAGCCAGGCGATGGTGGCGCACGCCTTTAATCCCAGCACTCGGGAGGCAGAGGCAGGCGGATCTCTGCGAGTTCGAGACCAACCTGGTCTACAGAGCTAGTTCCAGGACAGGCTCCAAAGCAACAGAGAAACCCTGTCTCGAAAAAAAAAAAATACATCAGCAAAACAAAACAAGAATATATCAGCAACAACTACAGCAACAAATCATTGCTAAGTGATGGTTTGAGGCCAACTGGGTCTACAGAGTGAGTTCAAGGGTAGCCAGGGCTCTGTTACACAGAAACCCTGTCTTGAAAAAATGAACCAAAACCAAAATATATTTATGTATCTTATTATTTATTTATTTGTGTGTGTTGTTTTATTTCTATTTCTGGGAAGGAAGGCATTGAGGTTTCTGTAAAAACTGTGCTGTCTGTAGATAGCTGTCGGTGGTCTGGACATTTTAAGCTATTGATGTTTCTCATCCACAAACATGGGGTTTCTGTCCATTGTGTTCTCTCAATTTCTCCCGCCGGTGTTGGTAATTTTCACTGCTGGAATCATCCACTTGGCTTGGCGGCATTGCCTTCTAGGTGGTTTATCTTTTGTTGCTCCTGTGAGTGGAGGTGTTTGTGAGCGGGGTCATTTTCTTGACTTCTCTCGCAGTATTTTGCCGTTGGTAGATGAAGGGCTGCTGGGTCATGCTGCTGACTCGCATCCTGAAATTGCCTTTATTGTCACTATCATTATTATGATTTGAGGGAAAGTCTCAAGTAATAGGGATAGGCTGACTGTTGTGACTAGGGACTAAAGAAACGACAGACACACAGACCCAGACATTCGTACTGAAAAGCTGGGATTGAGCGGGCCATGCCCTCTGAGGGAGGTACACTGCCATCAGACTCAGAGACTCAGTGTTTACTGTATACCTCGGAATGGAGGGGCAGCTGATCCAGACAGCTGGACAGGGGCTGGTTTAGCAGGGAGGATTCTGCAAGGAACCAGTCTAGAGCTAGAAATTTCCCAGAGGAGGAAGCTGTGATGGATAGTTTCTGCTCACTCTGGGTTCAGCGGAAGTCAGTCATTTGCAACATTTGTAACATATGCTGTCCCCAGGGCCTTACCTGGGGAAGACTTTGCCATTCCCCTGGGTCTGAGGCATTGGGGTCCGTAACATGGCTATGATTGTGTCAAGAACACACAGGTACTCAGTCTTTCATCTGCTCCTTACACATTCGCTCAGGGCTTCCTCCGCTCTCTACAGTCTCATGTAGCCCAGGTTAGCTTCAAGCTCGCCAGGTAGCCAAGGATAGCCTTGAATTTCCAGTCCTCCTGTGTCTACCTCCTGGATGTGGAGAATTACAGACGCTCACTACTTCGCCTAGTTTCTGAGGTTCTGGGACTAAACCCAGGCTTCAGGTGTGCTAGACAACTACACCCTCAGCCCTAGTTAATCTCCTTAAAAAGTCCTCTTTATTGTGTGTTGGGGTGGGGTAGGATGGGCAGAGAGCAGCGTGCATGGGGCCTGTGGAGGTCAGAGGACAGCTTGTGGGAGGTCGTTCTCCCCAGCTCTCCCCTGCAGTCACGGAGGTTCCAAGGGTCAAGCTCAGGCCATCAGGCTTGGCAGCAAGCACCTTTTTACCTGCTGAGCCATCTTGCCAACCTGGTTATTCTATTTTTAATGAGGCCAAAGTTGATAAGTGGAATCAGTCATAACAGACTGATCTGTCTGTGATAAGTCCTCATCAGTTCTTTTTCTGTTCCTTCAATAATCTTGTTTTTGAAAGACCCTACAGACCCCCTCCTCAAAACCTGCAGCAGCCAGCCTGCTCTAGTAAGAACATCCCATGTGCTTGAGAGAGCAGGATGAGATAGGAAGACTGCAAGGCAGGATATCAATAAGATAGGACATCAACAAAGCAGGTTGACTGCAAAACAGGATATCTATAAGATAGGAACAGGCTGACTTTTGCTGACACCCATGCTGAGAGAGGAAACCATTCATGCCCCCGCCTCATTCCGATAACCACGCTTTTTTTGCTTCTGTAAACTTGCTTTTTGCTCTTCCCTATAAAAAACCTGCCCTCCAGTTGGCAGGCGCGCAAGTCCTCCGAAAGACTTGCCGCCCGCAGGTACCTGTGTTCACCCAATAAACCTCTTGTGATTTGCATCCGTATGGTCTCGGCCTGTTCCTTGGCATGGGGAGGTCTCCTCCTGAGAGAAAGTCCTCTTCGAGGGTCTTTCATTTGGTGCATTGGCCGGGAATTGAGACCCCCCCACGCAGGGACTACCGACTCACCATCGGGAGGTAAGCTGGCCAGCTCCAAGTCAGTTGTCTTCCGTGTTCTTTGTTGAGTTGTCTTCCGTGTTCATTGTTGAATTCTGTACACTCAGATCTGGGTGCGCTGTACCCAGCGGAGGGAAGGGGCTGACGAGCCCGGGACTTCTCCCCCGCAGTCCTGGAAGACGTTCCAAGGACACCAGGACCCCGGGCCCTCGGAGGTCAACCCGCAAGGGTGTCTGGAGCCTTCGGGGCTCAATCCGTAACTGGAGGACACTCCAGTATCTGTAAGGGCTAAGAGTGACCAGGTCACTCCTCTAGTTCCCAGGAGGCATGACCTCCATCTGAATCTGTAATGCTGCGCAGCTTCTGATTTTGAGTTTGGTTTTGTTTTTTTGTGTCTTTGTTTTTATGTTTTTTGTTTTGGTATATCTGTTTGTACTCGAGTCTAAATCTGGTGCCGTGGGACAATCGTTAACAACCCCTTTGAGTCTCACTTTAGATCACTGGCCTGATGTCCGGGACCGAGCAAACAATCAATTGGTCAAAGTGTGAAAGGAGAAATGAGTGACTTTCCGTTCGTCTGAATGGCCCACATTCATAGCCGCAGGACGGCACTTTTAACCTTGATATCATTTCCCAGGCGAAGGAGCGGATGTTCGACATAGGACCTCAATCCCCTCTTACTCCCACGGCCCCTAAGGCATCCCCTCCCCCGGGAGGGGAGCCGCTTTCCCCCCTTCCCTCTGCTCCAACCCCTACTCCCCCCCCCCTTTCCTTACATCCTACTATCCTCAAAAAAAAAAAAATCCACTCCACCCCCGCCTGTTCTTCCCCTGGACCCTGAATCTCCCCTCGTAGACCTCCTACTGGAGGAGCCTCCTCCATATGCAGGACCAGCGAGCCCGGAGGGACCTGAAGCTGCGGCAGCCGAGGCACCCCCACAAGAATCCACAACCCCCTCACCTATGGCTGGCCGACTGAGGGGCAGATGCGAGCCACCGCCTAATTCCACCTCCCACGCCCTTCATGGACGCAGGTAGGGGACCTACGTCTTTACTGCCAGTTGCTCACAGCGGGTCTCCAAGGGGCAGCAAGCTGCCCCACCAATTTGGCCCAGGTTAAGCAAGTAATACAGGGAAATGAAGAGATGCCCTCAGCCTTCTTAGAGAGGCTCAAGGACGCTTATAGGATGTATACCCCCTATGACCCTGAAGATCCAGGACAAGCTACGAGTGTATCCATGTCTTTCATTTGGCAGTCTAGTCCAGATATTAGAAGCAAATTGCAGAGGCTTGAGGGTCTCCAGGGATATACTATACAAGACCTACTAAAAGAGGCAGAGAAGATTTTCAATAAGAGAGACTCCAGAAAAAAAAGAGGAAAGATTATGGCAGAGAATGAAAGATCGGGAGGATGAAAGAGACAAGAGGAGAAACAAGGAATTAACTAGGGTGTTGGCCACCGTGGTTCAGGGACAGAACAGAGAGGGAGACAGGAAGGGAGAACGACCTAGGGCCAAGGTGGACAGAGACCAATGCGCCTATTGTAAAGAAACGAGGACACTGGTTTAAGGATTGCCCCAGGAGGAACAAAAGGACCTAGGAAGCCCAGGCCCCAAACCTCCCTCCTCACCTTAGAGGATTAGGGAACTCAGGCCAGGAGCCCCCCTGCCCTGAGCCCAGGACAACTCTTGATGTCGGGGGCACCAGTCACCTTCCTAGTAAACACTGGGGCCCAGCATTCAGTCCTGACCCAGACTACAGGGCCACTCAGCGAACGATCTGCTTGAGTCCAAGGAGCCGCTGGTGGCAAGAGATATCGATGGACGACTAATCGGAAGGTTCAGCTGGCTACCGGTAAGGTGAACAGCCCGACTCTCTTTGATGAGGCCTTACACCGGGACTTGGCAGACTTTCGGGTCCAGTACCCCGCCCTGACATTGCTCCAATATGTTGATGACCTCCTCCTGGCGGCCTCTTTGGAGAAAGAATGTCAGGAGGGCACAAAAGCCCTCCTACAGACATTGGGACGATTAGGATATGGGGCATCAGCCAGGAAGGCTCAGATATGCCAGGAACAAGTCATTTACCTAGGTTATCAATTAAAAGATGGACAGAGATGGCTGACCGAGGCGCACAAACAGACTATCACTAACATCCCTGCTCCCCGGAACCCCCGCCAGCTGAGAGAGTTTCTGGGAACAGCGGGATACTGCCGCCTCTGGATCCCAGGGTTTGCAGAGATGGCTGTACCCTTGTATCCTCTGACTAAACAAGGGACAATGTTTGATTGGGGAGAGGAACAACAGAGGGCTTTCAAAAACATTAAGAAAGCCTTATTAGCCTCCCCTGCTTTAGGCCTCCCTGACATTACCAAGTCTTTCGATTTGTTCGTGGATGAAAAACAGGGTTACGCTAAAGGGGTCCTAACTCAAAGAACTGGGCCCTTGGAGGCGTCCTGTAGCTTATCTCTCAAAGAAACTCGACCCAGTAGCTTCAGGGTGGCCACCCTGTCTGCGAATGGTAGCAGGGATTGCAGTCCTCACCAAGGACAAGGGTAAAATGACTCTGGGCCAGCCATTGACTATCCTGGTGCCCCATGCGGTGGATGCCCTGGTCAAGCAGCCTCCAGACCGCTGGCTCTCTAATGCCCGCATGACCCATTACCAAGCCATGCTCCTGGATAAGGACCGGGTGCACTTCGGACCTGTGGTCGCTCTTAATCCTGCGACCTTGCTCCCCCTGGCCGAGGAAGCGGAACACCATGACTGCCTCCAGATCCTTGTGGAAATACATGGGACCAGGCCGGACCTGACGGATCAACCCCTCCGAGATGCTGACTATACTTGGTATACGGATGGCAGCAGTTTCCTGGCAAATGGGGAACGAAGAGCGGGGGCGGCAGTGACAACAGAGACTGAGGTAATTTGGGCAGAAGCCCTCCCCGCAGGCACCTCCGCCCAGAGGGCTGAACTTATCGCTCTGACCCAGGCACTCCGGATGGCAGAAGGTAAGAGGCTAAATGTTTATACGGATAGCCGATATGCCTTCGCCACGGCTCACATACATGGGGAAATTTATCGAAGACGAGGGCTGCTGACCTCAGAAGGAAAGGAAATTAAAAACAAACTTGAGATACTGGCACTCCTAAAAGCCTTATTTTTGCCCCAAAAATTAAGTATTATGCACTGCCCTGGGCATCAAAAAGGCCAAAGCCCTGAGGCAAAGGGAAATAGACTGGCAGATAACACTGCTCGAGAGATTGCCATGAAATCAACCAAGACCTCCCAAGCTTTCCCCTTGAAGAACGGGGAAGAGGCCCAAGCCTCCAGTTCGTTACCCTATAGTAAAGAGGACATTGATCTCCTAAAGAAAATGGGGGCCACATATGACCCCAAAAAGCAACATTAGGTTTTCAAGGAAAAGATTATTACTTACATAAATTGACTCATTTGGGGCTAAAGAAGATAAAAACCTTGTTGGACAGACAGGAGTCAGGCCAATACCTCCTGAACAGGGATGGAGCCCTGCAAAAAGTGACTGATGAATGCCGAGCCTGTGCTCAGGTAAATGCAGGCAGAACCAAGCTTGGTCCAGGAGTTCAGGCACAGGGACATCGTCCTGGAGTACATTGGGAGATTGACTTTACAGAGGTTAAGCCAGGTCTCTATGGGTACAGATACCTCTTGGTGTTCATAGACAACTTTTCCAGGATGGGTGGAAGCCTTTCCCACCAAACACGAAATCGCAAAGGTGGTGACCAAAAAGCTCTTGGAAGAAATCTTTCCCAGGTACGGAATGCCTCAAGTCTTAGGCACCGATAATGGGCCTGCCTTCGTCTCCCAGGTAAGTCAGTTGGTGGCCAAACTCCTAGGGGTCAAATGGAAATTACATTGTGCATGTAGACCCCAAAGTTCAGGGCAGGTAGAACGCATGAATAGTGCAATTAAGGAGACCTTATCCAAATTAACGCTTGCAACTGGCACTAGAGACTGGGTGCTCCTCTTACCACTGGCCCTGTACAGGGCCCGCAACATTCCGGGGCCTCATGGACTGACACCTTTTGAAATCCTATATGGAGCACCTCCCCCATTTATAAATTTCTTTGATTCAAACATTGCCGATTTTGCTGACAGTCCTTCTCTGGAAGCTCATTTACAGGCGTTACAGATTGTGCAAAGAGAGGTTTGGAAGCCACTCGCCGCTGCTTACTGAGACCAACTGAACCAGCCGGTGGTACCGCATCCCTTCCAGATAGGAGATACTGTTTGGGTCCGCAGACACCAGACCAAAAACTTGGAACCTCGGTGGAAAGGCCCTTACACTGTCCTTCTGACCACCCCAACGGCACTGAAGGTTGGCGGCATTGCAGCCTGGATCCATGCCTCACACGTTAAGGCCGCCCATACAGCTGAGAAAGCAGAGCCCGCCGCGACCCCAGCACTCAAAACCCCTTAAAGATAAGGCTTAACCGTGGGGCCCTTTGATCATTATATGGGCCCTACTAAGACTGGGGATGGCGACACAAGAAAATAGCCCACACCAGGTTTTCAATGTAACCTGGAGGGTTACAAATCTCATGACAGGATAAGTAGCCAATGCCACCTCCCTGTTGGGAACAATGACAGACGCTTTCCCAACCCTGTACTTCGACCTTTGTGATTTGGTGGGAGAGTCCTGGAACCCCTCAGATCAGGAACCATTCCCGGAATATGGCTGCCATCACCCGGGGGGTGGGGGGTAGGCACAGGGACCACAGCTCTTATGGAGACCAGCCAATTTAGACAACTTCAGGCAGCCATGCATACTGATATCAAGGCGCTGGAAGAATCGGTTAGCGCACTTGAAAAATCATTAACCTCCCTCTCAGAGGTAGTCCTACAAAACAGGAGGGGGCTAGACATGTTGTTTTTGCGAGAGGGAGGGTTATGCACGGCACTCAAAGAGGAATGTTGTTTTTATGCGGACCACACTGGGTTGGTGAGAGACAATATTACAAAGCTTAGAGAGAGGTTAAGACAGAGACAAAGCTGTTCAAATCACAACAAGGATGGTTTGAAGGATGGTTTAATAAGTCTCCCTGGTTTACAACTCTATTGTCTTCTTTGATGGGTCCCTTGATTATCCTCCTTCTGATACTCCTGTTTGGGCCCTGCATCTTAAACCACCTGGTCCAGTTTATAAAAGACAGGCTGTCAGTCATTCAGGCCCTAGTACTGACCCATCAGTATCACATGTTACCACAACAAGAAACCGAGGTTCTGTAATTACTTTGAGTAAAAGATTTTACTCAATAATAAAAAGAAAAAGGGAGAAATGAAAGACCCTACAGACCCCCTCCTCAAAACCTGCAGCAGCCAGCCTGCTCTCGTAAGAACATCCCATGTGCTTGAGAGAGCAGGATGAGATAGGAAGACTGCAAGGCAGAATATCAATAAGATAGGACATCAACAAAGCAGGTTGACTGCAAAACAGGATATCTATAAGATAGGAACAGGATGACTTTTGCTGACACCCATGCTGAGAGAGGAAACCATTCATGCCCCTGCCTCATTCCGATAACCACGCTTTTTTTGCTTCTGTAAACTTGCTTTTTGCTCTTCCCTATAAAAAACCTGCCCTCCAGTTGGCAGGCGCGCAAGTCCTCCGAAAGACTTGCCGCCCGCAGGTACCTGTGTTTACCCAATAAACCTCTTGCGATTTGCATCCGTATGGTCTCGGCCTGTTCCTTGGCATGGGGAGGTCTCCTCCTGATAGAAAGTCCTCTTCGAGGGTCTTTCAGTTTTCATTTTAAATTGGGGCAAAATACACACAGTACAACATTTTCTGCTTTATCCATTGTTGTAGGAGCTCAATCTGTTTAGCCAGTGACATCTGGGGATAACTTGCCATGGGTGTGGTTTTCTCTGGAGACGTGACCAGATAAAACAGACATTAAGGGCCAGATGAGCTCTCTCGGAGCATGCATGGAGCACGCATGGAGAAGTAGCATGGTTGGTGCTCTTCCCTCTCTGGCAGAACAGCTGGACAGAGTCAGCTGGATCAGTGGCAGCTGTTATGGTAAAAATAAAATGCAGCGGATTCTTAAAGGGACAGGACAGACCATTACAGGGGCATCTGCTTTGTTCTGTATCTGTGAGTTTGTCTTGTCATCGCACCCCTAATAAATTGGTTAGTAGACTTTTGTGAGTTCTCACTTTAAGAATTTTTTTGTTATTTTTTTAAATTACATGGTGTGTGTGTGTGTGCGCGTGCACACGCACGCACGCACGGGCGCACGCTCGCACACACATAGTTATGTACAAGTTAGTGCATATTCCCTCGGAGGAAAGAAGGCATTGGATCCATTGGAGTTGAAGAGCCACCTGTGGGGGCCTGAAAATGTGAGCCTATTTCCCTGTTGACCAAAGGTCAGAGAGTTACAACTTCCCTCTAGTCCCTTCAAGGCTATTGTGCTTCTACCCCAAAGGTCCCACCTAGAAGAAGAACACAGAGTTCTGCTCTCTCAAGGTAATTGTCAGCAGGTGTGGTTAATAGCCAGCCCTTGTACTCCAGGAAAGAGAAGTAGATCTGTCCCTACCTCAAACAAAGACAAAAGTCTAAGGATCCAACTAAGCTCCAGTTCCCTTAAGGAGGTAACTTTGGATTCCACCCGGGGAGTGGTTTGCCTACAGAATGGTTTGGTCTAGTGTGTGAGTGTGGCTTGTTTTGTTCTAGCAACAGAATGTTTAACAATGAATGTAGCCTGCGACCTTCAGTTGGTCTGTTCATTTCCTTGTACCTTGTTAATGCAGTCTTTTGCCTTACTCCTGCCTTTTGAGGTCAGGGGTGTTTTAAGCAGTTGGAAATTAAACAAGGATGAATTTTCAGTACTCACTGGAACTCCCTTCTAATACTATCCTATATGTTTCTCCGTTTTATTATTTTCATTTGTGTCTTTGCATTCTTTGCTATATTTCTAAATCTCCACACCTCTACCCTGGTGAGAGGTATTTTTGTCACCAATAACCACCAACATGGTTGCTGAGAACTGAACTTGGGTCCTTTGGAAGAAGAGCCACTCTCTAGCTCTGAGCCATCTCTCTGGCCTCTGCTTTACCCAGTAAAGCATGCATTTTGCAAGTGTTGAGTGTTTTTGTAGGCCATGCAGTCACTCTCCAGGAGACTGTCATTTGTAAAACTGAAAGCAGACCCCATAAATACGGGCTTCTTTCCTCTTCCTCCCAGGCTTGACACAGGCATTTACTTTCTCTTTCTATGGATTTGGTTCCTGCTTATTCTTCATAGAACTATGTGTCTCTGTGCCTGTCTTTAAATTTTATTTATTTACGTATTTGTGTGGGAGTGTGTCAGGGGCATATGTGTAGGCTGCGCGCTCACATGCAAGAGGCCAGAATGGGACACTGGGTGTCCTCTTCTGTGGCTTGCCACCGTACTGCCTTGAGACACTGTCTCTCACTGAACAGGAAGATCGGTCTTGGTTATGCTGTCTGACCAATGAGCTCTGGAGATGGCTTGTCTCCACTTCCCCAGTGTTGCTATTACAGGTGTGTGGAGTGTGCCTGGCTTTTTTCATGAGTGACGAGGGATTTGAACTCAGGTCCTCATACTTGTAGATCAAGCAGTCTTACCCACTGAGCCATCTCCTAACATTCTGTGGCACAAAGTCCTCACGGTTTATCACGGTGTAGAATATCCGAATTTCCTCATTTTGAGATGGGTAACTCTCCACGATACACTTTGTTTACTCATCCACCCATCAGTTTCCTGTGATGGTTCTTTGCCAATTGCTAACTAGAACTTTTCTTTTTTTTTTAAAATAATTTATTTATTTAATTTTACATACATTGGTATTTTGCCTGCATGTATCTCTGTGTGAGAGTGTCAGATCTTGGAGTTACAGACAGCTGTTAGCTGCCATGTGGGTGCTGGGAATTGAACCCGAGTCCTCTGGAAGAACAGTCAGTACTCTTAACCACTGAGCCATTTCTCCAGCCCCTAACTAGAACTTTTCTATAAGGAGTTTTTCTTCTACTGTTTATCATAAAATACAGTTTTGGCGGCACCACCTAGAATATTTATTGATAGAGGTTTCTGTTCTGCCCAGTCCCATAGCTGTTTAGTCCCAAAGAAACACACAGAGGCCTAGATTAATTATAAACTGGTTGGCCTATTAGCCACCATACCCAACTACTCTCCTTCCTTCCTTCCTTCCTTCCTTCCTTCCTTCCTTCCTTCCTTCCTTCCTTCTTTCTTTCTTTCTTTCTTTCTTTTTTGAATTTTCGAGACAGGGTTTCTCTGTAGCTTTNCTCCTGCCTCCACCTACCCACCCAGTGCAGAATTACAGGCCCATAAAGCCACACATAGCGTTGTTCTTTTTCTTTCTTGCTAAAATTTGGTTGCTTCTTTAATTTCAGTTTTATTTATTTATTTTGGTTTTTCGAGACAGGGTTTCTCTGGAACTTTGGTGTCCGTCCCAGAACTAGCTCTTGTAGACCAGGCTGGCCTCAAACTCCCAGAGATCCGCCTGCCTCTGCCTCCCGAGTGCTGGGATTAAAGGCGTGCCCCACCACCGCCCGGCCTTTCTTGCTTTCTTTAAAGGACTTTATTTTTTTTTTCTTCTCCCAAGCCTACATATATCTTTAAACAGACAGGAAACTGTTTAGAGATTTTCTTCATCTTTGAATCTATGTATACTGTATATCTCTCTTTTTCTGACCACATGAGTCTTTAATTTGCTAAGTAATATGGCTAGGATCAAAGTCGTGGCTTTAACCACTAACTAGATCCACCTCATTCCTTAGCTTTCTGAGAATGGTGGAGGTACTGGCCAGAGTCATGCTTATTGCCACAACTCTATGGTGTTTCAAGGTCTGTGCTACCACCAAGAAGCATGCTGTAGACTATTCATAAACACCATTTAAGTGTTTTGTGGCAGAGCCTCTTAAAAGGACTACAAAGTTTTTGCAGCTAAAGCTGAGTCAGGAAGCCTCTCTTAAATGAGACGTGCTTGCCTCTAGCAAACAGAGCCCACCCAAGAAAATGCAGCTACCAAAAAGCCACGCTCAGCTCTGTTATTTTGTGTCTACTATTACTTCCCAAGCTCTCTCAGGTTTTATGTGGATATAGTTGTCCATGTTGGTGCCCTTTTGTTTCCATAGGAGAAAAAAAAATCTATGGATACCATCAAAATTAATAAAGATTCGATTTGAAAATTGAATCTTGAGGCAGAGAAATGACAGCTCATCCACAGAGGTGACAATCATACAGGTGGTAAGGAAACCTCATAAAGGTTGGGGCAGGGTTCTCTTCTTGTCTTTGCAGAAAAATATTCATCTTCAGAAAGTCAAGAGACCCTGGATGTTTGGATTCTTAAAGAGGAAAAGATAACTTCCCAGAAAGGATCGCCAAACAAAGAGGAATATGACTTATGATGACAGGTCATCGTAGGGTAAAATTTCATATGTACATTATATATATATCCAGTAGAAATATAAACTCACTTAAAAATCAAAAGCTGGCTTTTGGAGTTGGACAATGGCTATCCTTCTCTAAATTCAAGCATATTGTTAAAAGAAAAATACAGAGTTTCTGTCTCATGTTAGGAGCCATCTGGTATGGGACAGAAAGAAGAAAGATCTTAGGAAAAATTTTACTTTTCTCCATACCTATTTTGTCTATATCATATTTTTCCTTGAATATATGTCTATGTGAATAATGTTTAAATTTTCCTCAATAAACATTAGATTTTCCTGCAGTAATCTTTGAAGTTTTCAGGAAAAGATGGGCCCCACAACAATGATTCTACCTGGTTAATATGACGTCATGATGCTAATAGTGCTACTTTAAGACTGATTTTAGGTACCAGCTGCTCAAGATGGTTCCAACTTGGTTAGCTGAAATGGTGCACCTTCTTACAGTATTCTGGTCAGGACTCCAAATAGGAACCTCAGAAAAACCCTAATTGAGATTATTTGCAATTATACCAGATGGTAATCTTGAAACTTAACCATCATTTATTTTTACAGGATTCCATAGAAAGAATATTGCCCCCATGACAGCTGGAAGTAGTTCTAGGAGGAGACATTCCCTCTCCCAACAAAGTTTTTCCTCGGGGTTAGGGACATCAATTAGGAGTTGATTATAACTGGTATAGGTATAGGGTATATGGTTGGGGGTTGAGGTGGAAATTATGTAGGGTCAGGGATCTCTTTGGAAAAAAAGGGGGAAATTGGATGGGATAATAGGTAGATTAGTGTGAGTTTACTCACACTAATAATAATAGTGAGCAATAGAGTGAATACTTGTAAGCCTTTATTTATAGGTAGTTTACTTTGGTATAGATTCTTGTATATTGATACAAGTTCAAATTGTGTTTGTTATATTGAATATGCTCCTATATTTGTACACCTATACAAAATTTTATTTTTTCAGGTTGTATGCATGCATGTCTCTACCTCTGTTTATGACATTTTGTATACTGATACAATTTTAGGATATATTTATCATATTGCATTTTGAGGTCATTGTCCTCAATTGCTGTACAGTTGTTTAAAGATTGTTTAATATTCTAATATGAAGTCTTAGTCTTTAAGTTATACAGGTATTAAGAACTATAGGTCAGTAGTCATTCATATTTGTCATACTTATAGTTAGACTAATCATGTTCTTTAGATACATAGAGATTGTATTCTGCGTAGATAGGTAATCTTCAGTCACTTCAAAGAACTGTAGAACATGGCATTTGAATAACCAAGGGTTCTGTTGACATGAGATAT